CATTCAAAAACCATGAAAAACATTGTAAAATACAATAAACAAGTAGTTATAGACAAAAAAAAACAAAAATTAGTGCCGCCACTAAGAGCCCAGTACCACTGAATTTTCCAGTTTTAGATAAATCTCTAGAATAGTTTTTGCTACATTGTTCACTGCGTTTTATGTGCGTGTGGTTGCCTGGTGGCAGACACTAATCATCTCGGCTTTTCTTTTACCCCCGGCGGCCTTTTTGCTGGCCTTTTTCCGAAACGATCCCCTGGACACCCCCAGGAGGGTCTTCTTGCCCTTTTCTGGTGCTCATTTGTCCTCTTTCTCCTCGGCGGGCTTGGCCCTTCCTATTATTCACCCGGCTGGCCTTGTGTGGATTCTGCCCAGAAAGTTATTGCTCGAGGTGTTTCGCGTTATGGGGAGGGTACCTGAAAAGTACCTGGGTTCTTTTGCATTATCGGGGGGAAGCAACCAATTTTTCTATTTTTACTATTCTTAAACGGAAAAAATCTCTCGCTCTCTGTCTCTATCTCTCTCCACCTCCCGCTCTCTCCCTCTCTCCCGCTCTCTATCTCTCCATCACTCTCTCTCTCTCTCTCTCTCTCTCTCTCTCTCTCTTTCACTAGCTTCTCCGCGATTTCTCTGACATCCCTAATAAAAAAATTCGCGTATTTTTCCGCGTTCCAAGCTTTCGAGGCTCCCGTTTTTCACCTTTTTCTCCTCGTAAAAAAGTTGGCCCTCCTGGTGGCCGGGGAGATGCGATCTGCCCATCCGAGGGCACCCCCAGCCATATTTTAGGCCCCGAAATGGGCCCCGGCCGTTGTTTGGCGCACCCCGAAACGTTTCCGGAGCTCAAGAAAATTTTTTTGATACTTTTTTGCTCAATTTTTATAGGACCTTTCTGGACATGGTGATGCTCATTTTGGACACCTCATGCTCAACCGGATTTTCCGTACAGCCGGCGCGGTTCGTGCAAAAGGACCCGACCCCCTGGCCATAATGGGTCATTTCGCGTGTCCAAGGGGCTCCTCTAGACACTACGCCATACGCCTATCCACACACGCATACCAATGGGGTGGTGGTCATTCTGTCTGGGGTCACGCATTTTTGGGGCCCGAATTTGGGGTTATAAATATGAAAAAGTAATCAAAAAAGCGGGCTGAATCAGGGTACTAGACTGTTAGCGTGGGGTGTGGATTTTTAGCAGTGGAAAAATACTGTATTTTTAGAATTTTGTAGTTTTTAATCGCTAGAAAGTGTAAATCACAAATGCTGTATTTTTATAAATTTTTTATTAGTTTTCTATTGCTAGAAAGTTACAAAAAAATATTTTAAACATTTTTAAAATTCGAAAATTTGACATTTTTTGTCATTCTCCATCCATTTTTGACAAAAAAAGCCAAAAATTTCGAGCTTTTATGCGCTTTTGATCTGAAAACTATGTAAAATGCTATAAAAATGGTCTAGATTGTGTTATAGGAGCGTACAGGGTTATTGAGAAAATTAGTTCCTACCCCCTGTTAACAGAACAGTACCGAAAAATCAGACACCTGATTTTTAAGAAGAGGGGATTCTTTAAAATCGAGGGTTTCGAAGTATACCACGGGCGGGCCAGGACACTAAAATTCCGCTGCACAGTTCCTATCGCGCGCCCTTGTGACCGTAACCCCCCAGAGCTCCCCCAGAGCCCGTTCGCCTTTTCCGACCAGCTTTTCATCGCGTAAATAATATAAAAGGAAGTGGAAAAACAAAAACAATAATAAAAAGCAAAAAGATAGATTTTTTAATTAGAAAAACACCTTTTGAAGGGTACAATGGGAAAATACCCATTAGTTGAACGTTCTGATGAGGTTAGTTGTCTAGATGTATCTCTTGATGATAGAGAAGGATGGCGGGAGCGATAGAAAACAAGTTTCGGTGCCAAATTCCTTTTAGCGGCTTATGCTCTTAGTCGCGATTGCCTAACGTCTGACAGATAGCAGAAACACGAAGACGTTTCCTGGTTGTTACGTGGGCAAAACCGTATATGTAGGCTTCCCTACCGACGCGAGCCTATGTTGAGCGACCATTGCATACGCTGCAGAAAAGAAAACTACAATGTTTACTAATCTTTTAGTTTATTTTTATAAAAAACAGCAGGCGGTTCCTCGATGAAGATGTTCTTCGGCGTACTCTCACTTCTGCTTGTAAAATTTCCAGCTTGTCATCTGGTTATACAGTAGCTTGAAGGCAGGCAACTCGTACTATTCAAGTTGGAAGAGCAACCATTCATTCGGGAGCTATAAAGGAACACGCTCTTAGGCTTAGCCTATGTCTACTCGTCACAGAATTTTGGTTTCTCAGCCTGGGAAGAGGGAAGACCAGAGAAGACGAAGGGTAGCGCACGTCAGGTGGATAGCTAACAAAATCCACTAAACTAATCACAACGTAACTGAATAACTAATCACGAGCCGCAACTCCCTCGTCGGGTGACTCTATCATCAAGTGTTACATCTAGACAACCATCCTCATCAGAACGTTCAACTAATGGGTATTTTCCCATTGTACCTTTCAAAAAGTGTTTTTCTAATTAAAAAATCTATCTTTTTGCTTTTTATTATTGTTTTTGTTTTTCCACTTCCTTTTATATTATTTACGCGATGAAAAGCTGGTCGGAAAAGGCGAACGGGCTCTGGGGGAGCTCCGGGGGGTTACGGTCACAAGGGCGCGCGATAGGAACTGTGCAGCGGAATTTTAGTGTCCTGGCCCGCCCGTAGTATACCTAAAACGCTACACTACGTTTTGCCGTCCGCCCTGCTGCTCCCCGGTGACCCAGTGAGCGCCAAATTGAGCCCCACCCTGGGTATTGCATAGAAAATGTGCTTCCGTAGCGGCTCTCTCTCGCTCTCTCTCTCTCTCTCTCTCTCTCTCTCTCTCTCTGTCTCTGTCTGTCTCTCTCACCCCCTTCCAACAGAAATCCCTCCAATTAGGCCCCAATTATTAGCGTTCCCGTGGCTGGATGCGCCCTCCAGGGACACGCTTTTGGTCCTCCCAGGGGTCGGAGCCAGGACCCGCGTGCCGAATTATTCATGGTGTTGAGTTGTGGGGTGGGTAGACTGACTGCATACCCCGAAGGGGGGATTCACCTCCTATTCAAATTTAGCTCTCACCCAATTCCGCGGCACTCCGCTGCATTGACAGCGTGTATTTTTGGGGGGTCAGGGAGCAGCTAGATGTCGTTATTTGCAATTTGTATTTTTGTTTTGCCGTCTAAATCTACCCGTTAAAGAGGGTATTTTTAATGTTTTTCGTTGATTTTGTTGATTTTAAACATTTTTAAAATACCGAAATGTTACTTTTTCTTGCAGGGAAATGCATTTTCCCATGATCGATGTAATATAAATGATTTTCGTAACATTTTACACGGTTTTTAGATATAAAAGCCGCATAAAGAAGCTTCTAAAAACTGTCCAAAATCTTAAAAGTTAAAATTTTCGATCGATCGATCAAAACTCTGCTGCCTGGAGGCGATCCTTTAAATTCTTAAGGTATCGAAATTTGTGTACCCCAGTGGTCAGCTGTGCTATAAATCGGTGGCTATTTGAGAGGGCCACGGGGTTTATTTTGGGGCCCTTTCGGGGGACCAAAGGGCCCGTTACCTACCTCTAAAAGACCTCTTCAATGGCCCTCTGCTAAGGCTATAAAACGTGGGGGCCAGGTGGGGCTTCTGGGCAGTTTCTCGAGCTTCGTTTTACTTTAATAGGGTCGAGCATTTTTTGAAATGGCTGCCTTGGAACTGTGTAGTTTTAGAATTTATCTGTTTTTCAGGGGGATTTGAATATTTTAGCGGTTTTTCGGGGGCTTCTGGTGTACTTTTAACGAGATTTTCGTATAGATACGTACCTTTGGTTAAAAAAAGTTTGCTTCCGGGTACCTGATTTTGCGATTTGCTATCATAAAGTCGAAAATTCGAAAATATGGATGTCGAAGTTTCAATATTGATTTTTTTTGCATAGGCTTAGGCTTCGGCTTGGGCAAACTTTAAAAAAAGCTGTCGGCATTAAGAAATGTCGATATCATGAAATTTCGACATCGTGATTTTCGACATTTTGAAAGTAATCCTGATTTCGGGTACCTACATTTTAACTAGTCCGGTTTGACCTTTTTTCTGCATCATATTTTAAAATATTTCAAAGGGATATTTTGGCTATTTCGGGGCTTCTAATGTACTTTTAACGAGATTTTCGTATAGATACGTACTTTTGGCTAGAAAGGCGACTTCCCGGTACCTGATTTGGAAGGAACCTGATTTTAAAGTACATTTTTTGGTACTCATTCAATAACGGGGGATCAAAGTTTTACAATAATAAAAACATTTTTAAACATGAAAACGCCGAAAATTCCCCCCGTTATCGTATTTGTACCTGATTTTTGGGATACCTAGCTTTTAAATAGCAAATTTTTACCCATTTTTCTTATTCTGCTTCATATTTAAAAATGCCGTTCCCTGGCCAAATGGACGATTTAAAGGAGCGCTAAGGGTTCAAGCTCTGGGTAATAGGGTTGACTCTGGGTATTGTGTAAATTGCCCCCCCCCCTTCCCGTTTTGGCCATTGTGTGCTGTTCCAAGTCCATTTATTGGCTTCTCTATTATTCGCCCTTCCAAGGGCACGGCAGCCCTAAATTGTCCCAATTTTTCGGGCGAAGAACTTTATTCGATTACGGCATATTAATTGGTGATTTCTGAAATTTGAGGCTTCTGGGCATTTTTGAATTTGTCATTTTTGAGAATAAAAGCAAAAATTTCCGTCTGGATCCTCTAAACGGATTTCCTGCTATTAATTGGCAATTTGTGAATTTTGGTGTCTTTATTCGCTTTTTTGGATTTGTCATTTTTGAGAATAAAAATACAATTGTTGTCTGTTTCTAAAATAAAATAGTAAATAAATTTAGTTTATTATTTATTTAGTTTATTTATTTAGTTTATTTAGATAATACAAAAAATTCTTAAATTTATTTTTCAGGATGTAGTGATGATGTTGGCTCGATTACTTCGACTCCTCCTCCTCATCCCTCTCCTATTTCAACCCTTCTCGTCGGCCATCAAATGCTACTCCTGTGCCAATGATTTCATTGTATGGGTCGGTTTTTCTCGTTCTAGGGATTTAACTTACATGGGCATTTAAACTGGCTAAATTTCGGTTCTTTTCTATTATCAGGGGGTGGGGGGCATATAAAAATCTCGAGTAACGTAATTGGCTCAGTTTCTAATAATATTCTTACTAAAATTTATGCGAGTTTAAAGTGAAAACTATCTAAAACCTAGACAATTTTTTCGAAAATTCGAAAATTTCTGGAAATGATGTAGACCTAGCTAGATTTAAAGTGGAAAACAATATTTTAGAAACTCGAAACCTTTAAATTCTAATTTTTTTCTAGTTCTCAGAGAAGAATCTATTATTTTGTTTTTAAAAAAGCTTTCGAAGGTTAGTTTTACAACTAGTAAAAACAGTTTAGAAACTTTTCCTAGATTTATATCAGAAAAATTGCATCCGAAAAGCGACGTTTTTAGCCCACCCCTGATAATAGAAAAGCACCTGAAGTTATCTTATTTCTGTTTGGAAAATTGTCTTTTTCAGCAATGGCGCCACTTTTTCCTGAAGAGAAACTACGGGTTGACGGCTTCGGACAAGGAATGCACCAGGAGAGACTACGACTCTACTGATCTACAGGTTGGCTGAGGCTATGGATTTTTGCCTTCAACGAGCCTTTAAAAGCTCTGGAAAATTGCACGTCACTTTTAATAGACTACGCTCTTTCCTATAGACTAAAAACAGCAAAAATCTCTGAAAGAACGCACCATTTTCCAAGGGTATCTGTTTTGGCGAACATTCTGAGCATTTTTGCCTTCGTCGGTCCTTTAAAAGGCTTAATAGCTTGGGGAAAACTCCGCAACATTCCTGTTGACATTTTATCTTTCCAGTAGCCTATAAAACTCGAGTAAAAATTGGGCTTAAAACCTGATTTTATGATTTTTCTTTGCAGGGCTGCCGGACGAGCTGCTTCATCTTCTACCTCAACGCGACGGACAAGCGCAGCGGGGCCACGAAAACGCTTGGTAAGCCGGAATCTATTTTTGAGTTGAAAATGTGATAAAAAGGGATTTATAGCTCAAATTTTTCGCAACTCATTTTTAAAAGAGAGTTTTCAAAAATCAAAATTGCGAAAAGTCGCATTTTTCGTAACGGTTACCTGACCATTTCTTACCGTTTATGGCTTTTTCGAAATTTTGAGTTCCAAAGTGAAAAATTGCTTGTCGAAAAATGCCCTTCCTAAAAAATAATTTCTGAAAGTTTTCCTTCATTTCGGAAAAATTACCTTCGAAAAATGATTTTTGAAATGCGTACGTAATCCTATTTTTCAGGCGTAGGCCGTGGGTGCTCCTCCTCCTTCCTGACCGATGAGCAACACCTCCACCTCGGTTTCGGCGGCCACTCGAAGCTGAGTCAAGTCGGCGACCGTTTGCCTACTGAATTTGATAAGGTATGGATTTACGGGATCGTTCTCAAAATATCGAAATCGCAAGATGCCGGTATGTCGAAATTTTTGCATAGCTTTGAGGAGATTTTCTGTGTGTTTTTTTTGGCATAGAAAATACGAAATTTCGACATTTTGATATAAAATCGGATGTACAAAGTGTTGTTTTTATCAATATTGTTGTTATAGTACGACATCTACGAGCATTGGTGCTTCTGCGCGACGGACAAGTGCAACAAGGAAACGTGCTATAGGTATGTTAAGGATTTCTCGTTTTTCCCTCGCCCTTGGCATTTTGAATTTTAAACTGGACTATTTAAACTGAAAAAATGTAGTTTCTTTTCTCTTTTCGGGGGGCCGGGGGCGTCATTTTTATAGAAACCAAAAAATGGTACTCACGTAATAGCAAGCATTTTGACTGTGTTTTAGTCAGACTTAGCTACATTTAAAATCGGAAACAATATTAAAAAACCTGGAAGGATTTTAAATCCAGACCCAAATCCGGCACTCACAAAATCAGAATTTTCTGACGATTTTCAATGATGGCTATCGATTTGTCGAAATTTCAATTTGCGAATTTTTTGAGACGCAAAATTGAGGCAAAAAAGACATTTGAAATCTAGTCAAAGGATTTTCAACAATTTCGAGAAGATGAATTTTGACAAAATGAAAATAAGCCATTTTCAATACATTTCAAGGTTAATGCGTGTTTTTCAGCCATCCATACGGCAGCTACGACTACCCGGGGCAGTATGTCGCAAGACGAGGCTCCTATCCCTACCAATCATATTGGGGCAACGGAATCGCAGCCGCAAAAGGTTCCTTTTCCGTTATATTCCTCTTTACGATAGCCCCGTTGATAGTATTGTGGCGGCAATGGGACGGGGGATAGGTAGCAGGGATTTCGATTTAAAATGAAAATTGTTGAATGTAGATTCCTTCAATTTAATTGTAAAAATTTGGATCTTTGAACTAAACTTTAATTATGATTTTTTTTGAATCTTCGGAAAGCAAATTTTTGAATCGCCGCTTTGAATTGATGGATGCCTCGCAGATACCGGTCTTTTTGGTCTTAAATTTACATTTTTTAAATACGTTTTAAATTACCCTTTTTTAAACCTATGTTTCGAAGATTTGGGTGTAAATAAAACATTCTCACCGAGGTCTCGCACAACATTTTTCCAGGTTTCCGAACGCACGGCAAGACGAAATGACAGACAAAAAGAGAAAGAAGAACAGCAAGACAGACAAATCGACGGACGGACAGACAGACAAACGGACAAATCGCATTACAAGGGCCGACAGACAGACGAGAGTTATCGGCGCTTCTCCACCTGACGTCTCGAATATTGGTGAGTCCCTTGGGGATTCTGCCTCATCCCGACAAATCATTCCGTTTTTAAAGGGGTCTGCAAGGCGGTGGAGCTTTATTTTAACTTGGAAAATTTCTAAAAAAGTTTTAAAAGTTTTTAAGACTTTTTGGGTTTTAGAAAAGTGGTCTCTTTCTTACTGTCTGTCTGTCTCTCTCGCTCTCACTCTTTCTGTCTCTACCTCTTGCTCTCTCCCTCTCTCTCTCTCTCTCTCTCTCTCTCTCTCTCTCGCTCTGCTTTCACTTAAAGATTTTCGAAAAATTGTTTCCATTTTTTAGCATTTTTTGTTGGTTTTAAGCAAGTTGATTTTTTTGGCATTGTCTAGTCGGGGCTAGCTAGCAAATGGCAGTTGTCCTAGTCTCTGGCTCTCTCTCTCTCTCTCCCTCTCTCCTCCCCTCAATTTCAGCCCTCCATTTTCACAGAATCCCCCCCTTATAGCACAGCTGACCCCCTTAACACCCCCCACCCACCATGAGTTGTGTTGCCAAAGCGTCCCGTTGGGTCACATCAGACTTTTTGATCGCAAATAGACACCTAATAGCGGTGTTTTTAATTTTTCTAGAAATTCGTGCTTTTGGATTTCGGATACTTGAAATTTACTTGAAATTACCAGGTACCCACCTCAGGGTACCTGAATTTTGATTTAGACATTAGTAGTTTGTAGCCTGGATTTTTACGTGATGTGCCATTATTTTTTTGCAGCAGGCTAGCTAGCAGAGACCATTGGATCAGACTTTTTGATCGCAAATAGGTCCCCCAAATAGCCGTATCTTAATAACGCTAAAATTCATCGAAGATCGTGATTTTTAACTTCAGGTAGTGTTTATTTTTACGTTAGTAGGTTGTCCCCTGGATTTTTACGTAAATAGCTGTTTTTTTAGCAGGCTAGCTAGCAGAGACACTTCGATCAAGTTGGCATCGAAAATCGCGATTTTTAATTTTCAGGATTTTTTCTTGATTTAAAATTTCAGTTGATAGTTTGTAGTCGAATTTTTGCCACAGATTCGCTATATCCAGGCGTTTTCTATAGCAAGCTAGCTAGCAGAGTTTTTTGGGGAAATCCCGAAAGACCAGAATCTCCTGCTCCCCCGAAGCCCTTAAAAGTTACGACGCTAATCTCGAATCCAATAGCTCGGCAGGCTCTTGGCTCGAGCCCCGATTTTTATGGCATAATCGGTTATTCCCCCTTCCCAGTCCCTTCATTCCTTTAGAACAGCTGCCGCTCCTTGTCCCCCGTCGAGCTCAAAATGGGCTAATTGCCCGGGGGCATCTCCAGGAGGGGGCGAAGGCGTTGTTGTTGCTGTTATTCTCGCCTGGTGGGCCCTAAATCTTCCCGTTTCTGAGGGGGGATATGCCCTTGTTGCCCTACTAGGGGATATGTTTTGGGTCTGGCATGTTGAAATTCTTGTCTTCTGACAGTCCGTCAAGCTTTTATGCTTTCATTTTTTGGCTTAGGCTTAGCTTCCGGGAATCCAGTACCCCTCGAAAGGGGTTTCTTTCGAAATGTCGAAATTCATAATGCCGTAAATCATCATGTCGAAAATTCATAATGGCGAAATTTCAGATTGTCGACATTTCAGAAGGTCGGCATTTAAATAAGCGCCTTTTTCCGGAACACCGCAAGGCCATGCGAAAAAATTCGGCGTTCTGAAATTTCGATATGCTGAATTTTCGACATCCGAAATTTCGACATTATGATGGAAAATCCTTCGAAGGGTATCTGAATTCTGCGGGCATGTGATTTCTCAGGCACTGGACTGTTACCGGGGCGAAGGATTTTTCTTGCGGGGGAAACTAAGTTTTTTATTTTCCGTCTATGCCTGCCTGTAAATAATAAATACTGTATTTTTATGGTCTTTTGCGTAGTTTTTGATTGCTAGAAAGTTACAAAAATATTCTAAAAGGTTTTGAAAATTCGAAAATTTGACATTTTTGGTCATTTTACAACATTTTTACCAAAAGTCAAAAAATTTCGAAGATTTTAGAAGTTTTTATGAATTTTTTGCATTTAAAACTATGTAAAATGCTCTAAAAACGGTTTATATTTTGTGATGGGATCGTACAGAATTACTCGGAAAACTTCGTTTCCCCTGCTAAAAATCCCCCCGGCTAACAGCCAAGTACCCCTGATTTTAGATACCCGAAATAAGCTACCTGTCCTCTAGCAATCTAACTATATATAAAAAAATAGTGTTTGTGTGTGTGTGTATATATTTGCATGCAACTTCCGTGAGTATGTACCGCACCTACAGCCTCAGGGGAAGGTTTTGAAGGTATGTATGATACGTCATTAGGTGCGTAAAGGTGCCGAGATTTTGTTAAACTTTTCAAGGTGAACTGTTTTCGCTATTAAAATTGAGTTTTTGTAAAGATTTCGAAAAACCTCTTTGTTAGGGGCAATTAGCATGCGCCGGAAGTAGGAAGAGCCTATATAAAGGGACAAAGGAACCGTTTTTCACTTTTGTCTTGCTAGAATTCATGAAGAAACATGCAAATTGAGGACTTTCAAGGGTCCTAGACGGGGCCAGGGTTGAAAAGCCGCGAAGCGGTTTTTCAACCCTGGTAAATACCTAATACTTTTAGCCTTACCGCAATATAAACAGCAGCTCATATGACCCTCAAAAATGACAAGTATCCCCCTCAGCGCCTCGGTCTAACAGCTGCCGCTCCTCTCATTTTTGATGAGCACTTGTCTACCGATTCTCGTGCTCCCAACAAAAATTGCCGATTTTTGAAGCTTTGCCTTTTTTGAAGGCAAGCTAGCAGAGATTCTTTGCTTCTTTTGACCCCGGGCTTAGGCGAACTGGCAGGGATTCTTGGTTTTTTGCTCCTTCTTCTGGCTCCTGCAGCCGCGATTGTAGCTGTTTCGCTTTTTTGAGCATGATCACTGAAAAATGGGGTGGCTTACCGGGGGTCTAAAGGAGGACCGGAAACTGGGCTTCTTCTTGCCCCCAGACCTCTCATTGTATCGGCCATCAATCAGAGGGCACGGGACAAATGGGGGCCAGAAGAGAGAAAGAGAGAGATAGAGACAGAGAGAGAGAGAGAGAGAGAGAGAGAGAGAGAGAGAGTGGCGAATTTTTGAGACCCCCAGGCAGTTGTTTGTCCCTTAGTCTGATAGTCATCAGCCCCGAAATTCCGTACAATCCTGTTTACGCTACGCTAGCTGGCCGTTTGGCAACGGTCGCTGATTAAAAAACAGTTAAAAAATTGGCGCAAAGATCATGCAAAATTCGAAACAATTTCAAAAACCTTTCCCGACTCAAAAACATATTTTGGCTTTGAGAGGTCGACGATGGAAATCGGGCATATCGATAGGCTTAGGAGTGGTCCCCGACCACTTTACTTAGGTTTGGCTTAGGCTTAGGCTTAGGCTTAGGCTTAGGCTTAGGCGTAGGCTTAGGCTTGGGCTTAGGCTTAGGCTTAGGCTTAGGCTTAGGCTTAGGCTAGGCGTAGGCTTAGGCTTGGGCTTAGGCTTAGGCTTAGGCTTAGGCTTAGGCTTAGGCTTAGGCCTAGGCTTAGGCTTAGGCTTAGGCTTAGGCTTAGGCAGGCTTAGGCTAGGCCAGGCTTAGGCTTAGGCTTAGGCTTAGGCTTAGGCTTAGGCTTAGGCTTAGGCGTAGGCTTAGGCGTAGGCTTAGGCGTAGGCTTAGGCTTAGGCTTAGGCTTAGGCTTAGGCGTAGGCTTAGGCTTAGGCTTAGGCTTAGGCTTAGGCTTAGGCTTAGGCTTAGCGCTGTAATTTTCGGGATTTTAAGTATATTTTCTGGCGGCATGGTGTCTGATAGTGGTCCAGGTGGGTGGCGAGTGGGTACCCGGTTTTTGCAGCGGCTTGAATTCGCAAGCTTTGTCCCCTCAACAGCACCCATAAAAGCCATGTGGTCAAGGGGTTAAGCCTAAGGCTCTCCAATCTGTCCCCCATCGTACAAAGAGCGTTTTTTCGACTTAATTTTTTAAAGCTACACTCTGACTGCCAATTCAGCATTTTTCACTTGTGTGGCTTCCAGAAAAACGGAAGTGTTTCCGTCGCGGCTTCCTCTAAATTCGGTTCTATTCACGAAGCCACCCACTCTTCCTTTTCTTTTTCTTCTTCTGATGTCAACTTTCAACCCCCCCTCCCCTGAAAAAAACATCCGTACTTTCAGGGCTGTTCTAGCGTTAAATTGGCAATTCTAGAGTTTTTGTATAGCCAACTCGAGTTAGATTCGAATTCTGGCAGCTTGCCGATGATTTTTAAAGTTATTGATTCTTGAGAATGAATTATTAATGGTAAAAATTGGCTAATTTTTGAGGTAAATGTATTAGGTGACGCTATATAATTAATTTCTGGCTTTGGAGCTTCTGTTTCTATTTTTAAACTCACCTCTGCTAATTTTTGGATTCCGGAAAACTTCAATGGTTTAGTGATGCAAAAATATCTTGATTTTTCGGTACCTGAATCGATAACGCTATATAATTATTTTTTAACGTTTTAAATACGTTTTTATGGTTAGTTTTTCAGCTAGTCCACCCCATCAACGATGATCTTCCTGAATCAACGCCCCGTCGATGAGAATGTGCGATACGAGAAGCGCCAATCCCTCACCGGCCTCTCCGCATCTCATCAACATCAGCGGAAAGGGAGAATCGAGTCGAATGTACGTTTCTTTACGACTTACGTATGCGTATTCTTAAGTACATTTGCGTAACCCCTAGCCTAACCTCAAGGAAAAAATTCTCGCAAAAACCGCGCCTAAAAAGCGGACTTTTGGGGTTTACGATTTCGTCTAGTTTCTTTAGGATAAGTTAGGAAGGGGCCTATTGAGTTTAATTTACGCTTCTTGTCAACTCACGCATGCGTACTCTTACGCACAGTTGCGTAAGCTTGCGCAGAAACGATGCATAAAAAGTTGATTTTTGGGTTTTACATTTAGTTTGTGAAGAATTTAGAAAGGAAGGAATCGAAGCTAATGTACGTTTATTGACAAATTACGCTTGATTTTGGCCATTTTTATCAACAAAAAATTTTCACGTAAGAAACGCGACCCAAAAAGTTGATTTTCGGTTTTTTCTCTGGCCAGAAAATAGACTTGTGTATAATTGCATTCAGCTCCAGAACGCTCCCAAAATTACTTGGCGTTCCAAAAACTTGGCTAACTTCTGGATCGCTAGCTTTTCCTCGAATTGTCACTTTTATTCCAAAAAATCCAATCAAAAATAGTTTTTCTGAATTTGACTAAATTCTGAATATGGAGACTTGTCTAAATTCTTTCGAAATTTCCTTTTTTTGAGAAAACTCGGTTCTAATAATTTCCGAAACGCTCCGCCTGACGCCCCGGGACCCCAGAAATCATGTTTATCCCGGTTTTGAGAAAGCCCCCCGAAAAAGGGTGTCCGCCTGCCGGAAATGGCGAATTACGCAACGCCCAGATGACTTTTCGGGGATATGGCACGTCAGAATGGGCTGGGAATAGCTTGGAAAATGGTAGATTGACACACGCACACACAGCTTTTCCCCCTATAACGAATTCATGGTTTTGTCGCTTTTTAGAAAAATCGAAAATTGATAGTTTAGCCTTCTTGAAAAAAGTTGTTATCAGAATTTCAGAATGTCGGCATTATTGCTAAGGATGTCGATATTCCGAAAATTCGACATTTTTTTGATCCGAACTTTTCGATAATACATCAATTTTTGGTGTTATTTTCAAAAATCTCGAAATTTCGCAGTGTCGGCATTTTCTGTAGGACGTTTCGACATTTCTACTTCACGAATTCTAAATTTTGCCCTGAAAATGTCGAGAGTTGCTCGGGGATTTCTGCATTTTTAATTTTGCTATCCTACTAGATTGTAAAATCTGATGGCAAGTCGATCATTTTCTCAATCATTATCAAACCGTTTTTTTCAGAAAATGATCCTGATCCTGATGCTATTCTACCTACTCGCCTCCGCCTTCCCAGGTGATTTCTAACCCGTTTATTGGTTTTAAAGCGGACGTTACCAGGAAACTTGACTAGTTTTTTCATTCTGAAAAATTTATTTTCAAATTTTGGCACAAAAATTCAACTTTTTTGGAAAAGACGTTTTTCGAGAGTTGCATTTTTTTACAATTTCCTGTCCTTAGCTAGACTTAAATTTTTCTTTCGAATTCCAATAAATTACTTTAGAAAGTTATTTTAAAAAGTGTCGAAAATCGAAAATTTTAATTTTGTTTTGTTGCATATTTTTATGTATTTTGTATTTTCAGTGATTCTATTCTACCCACTGTCCCTGACAACCCTCATCGTCCCATCAATAATGCTCGGCTATGCGATATGCATTATGAATGCCGAAGTGAGCCATGATGTATGGCCATGCTGTATCATTGGCGTACGTTTTTTACTGTTTACGCAGCGAAGGAATTGTCATTGTTGTCGGTTTTGGTTATATTTTAGGCTACAAATTTCGTTGTATAATTTTTAACCAGAGTTTAAATTAAGGTTGCTTACAAATGTAGCTGTAATCTATCTGTTTCTTGTAATTTTAGGCTATAAATTTCATTATCTAATTGTTGACATAAATTAAAAGTAAATTTCTTTTTCTATTCTGACAGGAAATAAATTACTTATGCTAGTTTTACGCTACAATCTCGTTTATATAATTTTGAAATTGTTTAGATACTCGGCATCCTGATCAAGTTGGGCGGGCTGATCGTCTACCTCTCCGTCTTCTCCCTCAAACATCAGGATGAGAAGTTCACCGCCAGATACAAATCTAGTACGTGATTTCTGATTTTTTTGAGTTAATGAATATACAGAAAGCTGCTTTTGAACCATTTTTACGATTTTAATGCACAACGACATCAACAATTTAAAGCCAAAGTTATTTTCCTTTTACATGAGAGCAAATCTGTCTCAAATGGTTCCTGCTAGCCTGCCCCGTTTTAGAAAAGAAAAGACTAGATAAAAGCTACGTTTATTTCCTTTTGACGCTCTAGAAAGAATCTTATTTTTGGAAGCTAAATTAATAGGAAATACTTAGCGGCGCAAGCAAGCTATTTTTGAGCTTGTTAATTTCAACGAGCAATTTTTAAATCTTGACAATACTACCTAGCTCAATTTCTCTCTGCTAGCCTACCCCTTATATCCTCTTTCAGATTTGGACGAAACGGCGGCGAAGCGTCTTTTCTTCTTCATCATTCTTGCCGTCGAGATGGGCATTCTGTTCTTGGCCTGTTGTTTCAAGTGGCATCTAGCTGCTTTTGACAATAGCAAGCAGAAAAAGGTACGGTAATACTCAATTTAGATGAATCTCCCTCCCCAATGCTCTTTGCTAGCTGGCCAGCCTTGGAGCAAAAAACGTCAAAACTGACCAAAAACCACCTAAAAGTCGGGAAGCTAGCTTTATTCAGCTCCGCTTCAATTCGCATCCTCCTAATTAGCCTCTGCTAGTTGACGCACAGGAAACCCATGGGGAAGACGTCAAATCTGCCGAAAAACAGCTTCAAAACACCCCAAAAATCGAGCCATTTTGCCTGGGATTGGGGCCACGCTGGTTGTTTCTTTTGCGCCGTCCGACTCGCCCCCCGTCTGGCCCACTGGATGGGCATAAGGTCCAACCATTTTCGCTGCTAGTCGGGTGGCTCTCGGGCTGCCCCTATGCCCCCACGGCACACTCTGGCGGATCAATCGATGATTCGATTGATCACAGAGTGGGGAAAAAGAGGTTGGGGCTTCAGCTTTGAAGCTCCATCCCTTGAAGTCAAGCATGAGCTTGGGCTAAGTCGACTTCCGGTCTGTCTACCCTTGCTTATGTTTGAAAGCAGGCTTGGCGTTGCCTAAGTTAGGCGAAGCTCTGGCAGGCTTTGCTTCGGCTTGTCCGAGGTGGAGCTCTGCTCGGCTTCCGCTATTTCTTAGGCGAGGCTCTGCTTGTCGTTTTCTCATATCTCTCTCTGGCCCCTCTTCCGGCACCCAATTTTGGTAAAGCCCCGAAAATGGGGAGGATCATCAGAAAATCAAATTTTCTTTAATTCAGAAGTCCATTTTTAATCTTTTAGGGCGAGTGTTCTTTGAATGCTCGCTGATATTCTTCTTCTCGCCACCCGTCTGGACCACTTCGAAACTATAGGTCCTTTGAAAAATCGTAGGAGGGGGTTGGGGATGGTGGGCGGGAGTATTCCACTGTATTTCAGAATGTATCATTTAAATATGTTTCTTTATAGAGGATACTATCTGTTATGATAGTGTCTTTATAGAGAGAGAAGATACTATTAGTGTGTCTTCATAGAAAACCATTAATAGAGTGTGTCTTTACAGAAGATCCTCAATGATTCTTTATAGAGTAGAGAAGTGCTACAAATAAAACTCTTTATAAAATTAGCATTCAGAACTCCTAAGTTTTAGGAATATTTACGTTGTAAAACTCAAGGTGTCCGGGTAAGGGGAGAGAGTTTCGCCCCTCCACTAGAAATTTGAGCCAGGCCCAATTTCGCCATCTTACAGCCGACGGTTATGTTTTGGGGGTGGGCCAGCTGGGTGGCGAGTGGGGGAGTGATCAGAAAGCATCCAAAGTACGCACAAAGAACAATTTGTGGTGTCTCATATAAGAGACATACAAAATACAATTTTACAAACGTTATAAGAATATTAGAGCATTATTTTTATTTGTTGGAGGCGTGGCGAGTAGTTTTGGAGCACGTTGTTGAGCGCGTACCTGAAAACCCGAAATTATAAACTATAAAGCCCAAAATGGAGCTTAAAACTTTAAACCTAAACAAGCTCAGCTTAAAAATTAATTAACTAAATTATTTGATCAGAATAATTCAGAAAAATTAACAAAAAAAGGCCAAAGAGAGCCATTTTCAGAGATCAAAGGCCGGCCAAGTCGTCTAAGAGGATGCGGACTACAATCTACAACTTCTGGCTACAGACAACAAACTCTATAAAAAGAGCTTTGCCCCCGATATTTCCTCTCCTATTCTAATGCCTCATCCAACCATTCGTTGATCTCATTAAAAGTATAAAGAAGAAAAATTCTAGAATTTCCGTCTGAATTCCGGTACCCCTCGAAAATACAAAGTCAATTTGTTTAGCTAATTTTAATTTGTGAAACTTGTAAATAAACGTACTTGTCGAATAAATGGTTTCTTTTCCTGCGATCGCCCTGGAGCAGCGAATTTGTAGTTTAGAGTTTAGACGAGTTGAGGGGCGAGGAGAGGCGATCCGAGAGACGATACACCAACTCTTCCGGTTCTAAAAAGTAGAATTATATAAGGTAGAAACTACAAAGTATGGCTAAGTATAAATACACTAGGCTACAACCTAGACAAAGACAGAATACCACCTAAGCACGGCTAGATACTACAAAAAATACAGGCTACAAAGTACGGCTGAATATAGGCGACCAACTAAGAAAGAATACAGACCACAAAACACTCTAAGCTAACGCTACAAAATCACGCAAGTCTACAAAATACGCTAAGCTAGAAGCTACACACTACGAAGGAATACAGATTACAATGCGCCGGACTAAAGACTTTAAAATGCGATACCTGCCGAATGTGCTGCCCTCATCGTCTCGCCAATCTTCTGAAGTCCCTCGTAGCGCTCGGCCCACCGCATCGGACCGCCGTGGCGACGTGGCCATCCGAAGCCGAAGTGGCTGAAAAAGAAAGATAACTTTTGAATTCACCTAAAACTACAAAAATACGCTTTAATTACCATTTTTAGATCAACTGATTTTTATAAAACTTACAACATGAGATCGATGAGTTGGGGGCTGGCAATGATGCCATCTTCGAGACAAAGATATCCCTCGTTGACCATCGGATACAACAGGAAACTGATTACGTCCTGAAATTCAGAAAATCAACATAAATTTAACTAGAAAAACAAACCGATTCGGCAAAGTGCCTCTGCTGCGTATTCTGACCCGCGGAGATTCGATCGATAATCGCCTTCACTTCCGGGTCGTCCGATTTTAGGCCACGCGAGTCGTAGCGGTAGAAGCCTTTTCCTGAAATTGGAAAGGGTAAAAATTGCAGAGGAAAAGGCAGGCTCGCAGTGAAACATAGACGTTTGAAGAAAAGCCAAAAATCTAGGAGGCGAGCTAGCGAAGGTCATTTAGGAAGCGTAAGATCGAGAGGGCAAGCTGACAAAGCTCTATGAGGAAAAGCAAAAATTAGGACGGTGGTCCAGCAGTAATTCTCAAGGAAAAAGCCGAGATTCGAGAAGGGAAGGTAGTAAATATCATTGCGGAAAAGATCAAAATGCCAAGGGAAAGCTGGCCATGATAGTTGAGGAAACGAACCAGTCTTCCTGCCGAGCCTCCCCCTGTCGATCAATTCCCTCTCGATACTCGACAACTCCATGCCGTGCTCCGATTTGATGCGGGCGCCCACGTCGATTCCTGAAAAAAAGCTTAGAAACGACAAACTAAAAACTGCGTATAAAACCACATTTTAAACTTTAAAGATAGGTTAGGAAGTCAGAAAAATTGCGAAAAAATCCACGGATTTTAGAAACGCACAGAAACGTACCAAACATTTAAAGTACGAACTACAAAACATGGACTACAATTTTTGGACTTTAAAAAATTAATATAAAAGCTACAATTCCATAAAACCGACCATTCATATCGTGCATCGTCATCGGGCCCATCTGCAGTCCGAATTGCGCCAAGATACGGTCAATGTCCTAGGCAACAAAAATTTAACGAAATGTGTATAAATACCTTGGGATACATGCCATACAAATACGTGAGCTTCATCGCCTGTGTCAAATAGACGTGGAGGAGACGGTTGAACATGAAGCTCGGACAATTTGCCACGAGAATTGGAAGCTGAAACAACCACCTAAAACGACAAACTAAAATTTTTTTACCTTTCCCATCGCCGCCGTAGAGGCAAAAGCCGTGGCGACGGCTTCTTTGCTCGTGTGGCTACCGTAAACGATCTCGATTACCTAAAAAGATCGATTAATAAACAATGAATCTGGTTAAATACCTTGATGACGTTGGCCGGGTTGAAAAAGTGCATGCCGACGAGACGACCAGGGTTTTTGAGGGGAGAGGACATCTGAAAATGGAGCATAGAAATCGCAAGGGTTATTTGGTCGCAAAAAACCTCTGCTAGCTTGCCTTTCCTCAAAAAAAAGCCCGCCGCCCATTTTTCCCAAACAAAAGGTGCTAGGCTGATTTTCTCAAAGACTCTCTGCTAGCCTGCTTTCTTCAAAAGCCTCTATTAGCCTGCCTTTCCTCAAAAATCTCTGCTAGTTTGCTTTTCTCGAACAATCTTTATTAGCCCGTCTCGCCGAAAATATCTGCTATCCCACTTTTCAAAAAATCCTTGATGTATAACCGATTACCTCATCAAAATCGAGACTCGACGTATTGGAAGCGATTATACAATCGGGCTTACAAATCGCGTCCAACCGCGCCATCAACTCCTTTTTCAGCTTCATACTTTCGAAGATGGCCTCGATCACCTAAAAAAATATTTTCAATTCGAAAATGAAGTCCCTACCAAATCGACCTCGGCGAGCCCATCAAAACTGGTCGTTTTCCGGAAAGCGGGAGAATTGAGGCGTTGTCGTTGTTGTTCCGACATCCTTCCCAGCGACATCTCTCGAGTGTACGTCGTCTCCAATTGCTTACAGCAGGCTGATAGCGCCTAAAATCAATAAATGTTTCCAGAATCTCCATATTTGTGAATGGAAATAGGAGGCTGTTTCTCTACTGTTTTTCCAATCACTTAACGAAAAAATCTACGAAGTGGTACCGACAGATACAAAAATCAGCGATTTTTCAGGGACCGATGGTTGATTGCAAAATTTTTAGGTTTTCACCTTTTCCAAGTTTCCAAAAACGATCGTTCAACTTAATATAGCTAAAGTATTTTACCTCTTCATTCTGCTCAACGAGAATCGTCTCAAAGCCGGCCAGCACGCACGCGATCGCGATTCCTCGCCCCATCGTTCCGCCGCCGATCACGGCCGCCTAAAAACGTTATAAATTAGAAAATAGGAATTCCTTGTACGTTCTTTACTATCTTTAAACCCTACAAATTTCCCTAAAACATACAAAAACATCGATTTTTCGACCAAACTTCAAATGTTTTCACATTTTCCAAGTTTCCAACTAGTTTCGGAAGCGCCAAATCTTGAAAGAGAAAGTCTTTAATGTAATTTAAAACGTCATGACACTATTCGATAATACATCTCACTAAAGCCATACTTTTTTGACAATAGTCGCCTTCGCATCCCGCCAATCGCCTCGTCCATCCGGCAGTCGCCACTGAAATAAAATTATTGCTGCCGATACCACGTTTTCAAAAACATCAAAAAAGAGTCCCCTCACTTCTTTAGAAACTTTTATAGCCGATTTAACATATTCTGCAACGTCGGGGGCCAAATTGGCGTCAGAGCTCATTCTCGTAGGTTTCTAGGGGTGTAGTTGAGGGAGAATTGGAAGTGAATGGCTGTTTTTTGCTACTTTCTCTACCCACAATACCCTTATCAATGCTGAGTATCCAACTATAAACTATGGCTGAACCCGGGGATCGGATAGACAAAAGTATCTTTTGATCGACGAGAGCGAGAAATCGACCTTAAACCGTCTCTAGGGTTATTGAAAACTATGAAATATCTATTTTCATCTAGCTAGCTTCATTTTTCGCGCTGGTTCTCAAAAACAACATGGTAACTTGTAAAAATAGCTTTAAAACGTCAAACTCGTTTGAATATAATCAGCGAGCGTGCGAAACAGACTTTACTCCATTTTTAAAGCTATTGAAAAACTAAATTATCTATTTTAATTTCTCTAGCATTACTGAATACGAATACAACGCTAAGCTTTGTCAGCTTTTTCTTTTTAAGCTTTTTTAAACCCAAAAAACTGGATGACACATTTATTGGCGTTTTAGACCCGTTTTTAAAAAAATGGAATTTAAGCAATCAAGCCATTTATCCACCCTCGGTAACGATAAAAAAACAGGCAAAAGCAGTGCGGCGCGAGGATTTTTCTAATAAAAATCATTTCCAATCAAATAAGTGAGGGCTGGAGGGGGCAGGCCAATAAATTGATGATCGATCAAATGAGAGAGGCGAGACAACAACAAATAGAGGGGATAAGAAGAACATCATGCCCGATATTTAACCCGGAAAGAAATAACCCGATGGGGAGCACGAAAAGGAGAGAAAGAGAGGGCGATTAGAGGGGAGAACGAGAGATACAAATCCATATATTCGAGCATGGCGGTGATGGTGGATGTGGATCAATTATCCTTTCTGCTCGCCGATCCTCCTCCGCCTCCTCCGCCACTTCCGCCCTTCTTCTTGTTCTTGCGGTACCCGTGGCTCGCCTGTAAAAAATGGAAAATTATAAAGTTATGGCGTTTTTGTTCCTTTTTAGTGCTTGTTCCTAAACGTTGAACACCAAATTTGACGAAAGGCAGACCAAACTTCCGACAAAATGGAAAATTTTACACAGTTTCCACGTTTTCTATACACTTTTCACATTGAATCCAGTCAAAATTTAACTAAACTTAACAAAATTAAACTTAACTTTCAAACTATTGTCGAAACAGTTTTTTAAAACACTTTAGATAATACAAAAACGATAAAAAACCTTGTTGGGCCCCTTTGGCTTGAGTGGATGACGTGACGGCCCTCCTCCTCCGCTCTTCTCCATCTTCTCCATCTTCTCCTGGGCCTCGCGCATCTTGCTCTCATCCAGCTCCTGGGTGGCTTCCTAAAGCAAAAATTATTCTAAAGCGTATTCCGACGTAGTTTTGTGCGTAGATTCAGCAAATCATAGTTAGAAGCGCTAGCTGTGGGCAAAAATAGCACGACCTCGGCCTCATAGTACAAAACACGCTTTTGTTGACTACGATAGCGCCAAGAATATAAAAGAGATACCTTAAACGCCTCAGCGCGCGGGTTCGTCTTTTCCGGGGGCGTCGGCTGGGGGGCCGGTGTCTAAAAATTACTTTTGAAAAGAATAAACCTCTTTTGGATACCTTTGGCTTCCCGTTGGCGCTCGGTGGGCGAGAGGAGGGCGGCTGGAATGACTGTGCGTTCGCGTTCTAAAACCAAAGTTTTCCCTCACATCTAAATTTTCCCAATAAAGTATATTTCCAAAGTTTTATTATTACTACTTAACGTAAAACTATCAAATTGCTAAAAAAATACGGAATCGAAATTTTCAACATTTCCATCTTTTGTACATTTAATAAGCAAAGAAAGCAGTACCAATTGACGAGGCGGGGGCTGCGGGTACGGCTTCTCGACATGGTAGCCCGGTTGATATCGCGGGTGTGGCTGGTGATGAGCTTGGTAGACGACCGGAAGATGATGGGCAATATGCTGGGGGTCCGGTGGGGTCGTGTCGGCGGAAGTCGCCTGAAAAATAGGGGAATCTTTCAGGAGGGAAACTGTGGCTTACGCTGCGGAAGGGAACAGCATATGGCTGCGGGGGGCTCATCATGTGTGGCGGAAGACGGTGGTGCTGTGGCCACATCACATTGAACGGCACGTTCGAGCTGCAAGAGGAAACAGCTTAAAATGCTTAGGCCTAAGAGTCTAAAAATCTTACAAAATTCCCGATTTTCAGAGCTTTCCAACGTTAGAAAAGTCTCGATCGCGAAGTATGTATCAAGATCGAAGTATCAGTACGCGATTCTCAAAATGTCATATTTCAAAAACGGTTTACATCAAATTCGCCTAGAAAAGCGTCTCTCGAGGCGATGACCAAAAACCTCCGAAAATCCTAATTACCCGTCAAGAAGGACAGTCCTCGAGCCGGACGTTGCCTGTTGCTGATTATGGTGGGCATGGTGCTGCTGAATGGCCGGATGGTGTCCATGATACGGCTGGCCTGCTCCTCCTCCGATGATCATCTCCTGGGGTTTCGGGCAGAACGGCGGCGCGTTCACGTTCGGGCGGAACTCGCGGTGCGCCACCTATAAAACAATACCTGTAAAAACAAAATAGATGTAGATGCTACCTGCACTTGCACGGCGTAGATGTAGATGATGGTGTCGAGGAAACGTTGCAGGTATTCTTCGTGTTTCAGCGTGATCACAAATTGGCCCGAGTGGACGCCCGCCTGGATCGATTCCACCTGAAAAGCCTTTTTTAGAATGAAGGTTAGAGCAAAAAATTCACGTTTTCTAACGCCCAGCTACGCATAAATTTACGAGCATTTATTTCGATACATTCAAAAGCTAAAAAAGTAAAGAAATACCATTTTATCGCCGCCAAAATGAAAAAAGACATCACGAATGCTGGCCTTCTCCGGGCACCCCGACACATCAATCATGAACGGCGGGCTGTATTGGGCCTAAAACAGGGGGAGTTTTTGGTTATCGAATCAAAAAGAATAAAATTGAATGTTTCAAAAGAAAACGGCGTACCAATTTGCTAGACGGGGGAAAGGTGCGATGGATGAGGAAAGGTTGATCGCGAATCGGGCCATCCGAGCGATGCTTCTGGTGCTGACGAGGATGATGATGATGTTGCTTCTGTTGATAATGATGGTCGTGATCATAGCGAGGCGATAGAGTGCCATTGCGTTCCGGGCTTTTCGTCGGCATCGGCTAAAAAATTTCTTTAAAAAAAACTTTTCGTTTTTTTGGAGCCTTTCTAGACTTGTTGATTTGTGTTGAGCTCAAATTGGCTGAGACAGAACCAGGAAAACGTCACATTGCTCCGGAATTCCAGTTTCACAACTAAATTATAACTGCTAGAAGTCTTTCCACAGCCTAATCCCATCGAATTCGAAATTCGCACACAACAACTGGTTCAGCAGGATCGAAAAACCCGACTCCCAGCCCCAAAAAAAGTTCTTGAACTTTTAAAAGCAGTCCCGCACCTGTTCCTCCATATATTGAGCCCAGGGGATATTTTCGAGTTCCTCGAGACCGAGTGAAGCCACATCCGGCAGCGCCGAGCCCGAGCCATCAACCGTTGTTGAGCCGCCCATTACAGAGTCACTTTTCTGGTTTTCTTGAAGAGAACGGTGTTCTGAAATGGGTAAATTAGATAGAATTCGACAAAATGGCGAATACGAGATGGAGAACAAGAAAATCAAACTGACATCAACGGCTTTGGGGCGAAAACTTTGAGATCCACAATGTACATGGGTTCTCGCGTAAAAAAAAAGACGGAAAGTTGAAAATTAAAGCTAGAAACTGGATAGAAGAACGGAAAGTAAAAACGATAAATTTCATTTATCTTTCCGGAATGCTAGTTTCAAACTTTATGCTCGAATCCGAACCCTAAAACGCTTGAAAATCTAAAATCTTCTCAGTTTTCGAAAGAAAAACTGTTTACTTAAATTTACTTTTCAACGTTTAACCGTTTCAGAACGCGTAAATCGTTGGAAATCCTTCACAAAAAAACGGTGATCCAATTTCCGATTGCGATTTTTGCCCATTTCCAGACGAAATTCATTCGTATTCACAACGAAATCCCCCCAATTCGCCACGCCCACTACAAACACTTTATTCAGGCCCAAAAAAAAAACACACAAAAATCCACTCGAAAAGCGGGGACTGGGGGAAGGGCAATAAATAGCGAGCAGACATATCAAATGACATGGGGGGGGATGGGGAGGGGGAATGTTGATAGTCTGCGAGTCGTTGTGTCGTGTCGTGTCGTGTCCGTCCTCCCTTCCTCGTTCCGGATCCGCTTTCGCTTCAGAATCCGCGTTGATAGCTGACGATGCATTTGACGCATCGCTGGACGAGCATCGTGTCCGGTTGGAGGGGACGGGTGGCCACGTGAAGGCTCAACGCACGGACCCAGTACACCTAAAAACAAGAACAAATTGTTTTGGCTTACAGGGAGTCGTTTTTAGCTGCTTCGTCTTGTTTGTGACAGCGCTAATTCGATAGAGCTCGAAATTCTCAACAAGCCCGATCGTTCAAAAATTGCTGAACGATAACGATTTTCGAGAAATTTTACCCCTTTTTGGCACAAAGTGGTAATTTTCAGAGGCTTTTCTCGCAGACCGGTATCGTGCAACAACTTTTGACGAAAGAGGCTTGTTCAAAATTTCTAGCTCTATCGAATTAGATGTGTCAAAGTGCACCTCAAAATAGTCGGGCTTGTAGAGCTCCTTGAAGTCGTCGTTCGGCTGCGTCTTCTCGAGGGGCACACGCTCGAATTTGGCCACTTGAAGGTATTCCTTCAGCTTCTCGATGTGATCGTCGCGCTGAACAGTTTCAGGTTATTTTTCGAGTTTAACTGAGCAGAATTTTGCGCAGATTCCGAATCTGCGGTCAAAATTTTCCGAGGTAGCCTGTAACATTTCAAAAATGTTTTTTTTTCGCACATGCGAAAAGCAGATTCGGGATCGCGGCAAAATTTTGCAAAAGATCCTACTATATATAAAAAATAGTGTTTGTGGGTGTGTGTGTGTGTGTGTGTATATTTGCATGCAACTTCCGTGAGTATGTACCGCACCTACAGCCTCAGGGGTAGGTTTTTAAGGCACGTATGAGACGTCATTAGATGCGTAATGGCGCCGAGATGAGTGCACACACATAAAAGTTTGGAAAAATTACTATTTTCGCTATTAAAATTGAGTTTTTGTAAAGATATCGAGAAACCTCTTTGTTAGGAGGTAATTTGCATGCGCTGGAAGTGGAGTAAGCCTATGTAAGGGCGCGGAAAGGGTTCTTTTCATTTTTTTGCGGGCAAGATCCTGGAAGAATATGCATATTTTTGATTATCATGTGCGTTAGACGGAGCCAGGGTTGAAAAGCCGCGAAGCGGTTTTTCAACCCTGGTATGCCAAAAAAATCCGGAAACGTACGGCATGCTCGTTGATGTACCAGCGTGGGCCATCAGTGGTCGGATTGTAGAACGGGAGCAGGGTGTTGCGCTCAAAAAGTTGATTGATTTAAGAAATTAAAAAGCACTGAAAAGTAAAGGCCAATATTAAAAAAAGTACATTGGGGGTATCGCTGTAGACATGGGCAATGACGAGGGAGGCCATGTAGGCGATGCCACGGTAGCCGCCAGACTGAAATCAACGTAATAGAATAGACAAAAAAATGAAAATTTACGTTTGCAAGCCGTTTCCGCATCAACCCCGCTTTAGAAATGTTCAAAATGTGATTTACAGTTTCAAAAAAGATTTTCGGTAGAAACATCTCCCAGGCCCTTTTTAAAGTGAAAGCCACATTTTGCATATTTCTGAATCGATTCCAAAACGAAAAATAACTTCCAAGACAGCCAAGGCTCCTCAAGGATTTCTGCTCGTTGACTACGCGATAGCCATGCTATCATGGCGTAACCGAATAGACTTATTTCCCACATTGGCCATGGCGAGGATGAGCTTCTCATTTTGGAAGATGGCGATCGGCGAGGCGTAGTTCCATTTGCTCGACTTCTTGTTTTGGCTGGAATCGGGGAGTGGGATTTTCATAACATAACCGATTAAAGGGACATACTTGATGGTAGCCACGCAAGAGACCATGCTCAACGGGAAATAGCCGACATCCGGGTCGAGACTCATCGCCGCCATCATTTGGCAAAACGCCGGGTCGGCCGTCTAAAGAATGACAATAGACCAAAGGCGGGCTAGCATAAATTATTGAGGAAAAACCTCCACAATCCCTTACCACGGTGGGGTCGATGCGGGCCGAGTTCAGCTTGCCGCGGTACTTCTTCTTCAGTTGCTACAAAAGGGGAGGGCGTAGATTTTCATGGCGTAATCGGCCATACCTTTGTATCCTCAGTGCATAGGTCTCTCTGTTGATCGACGGTCGTCTTGTCCGTCAGTTTCCCATCGGCCAGGTGCAGCCAGGCGAGGCTGGAATTGTGTGGCTTGTAGCTAACGTTAAAATCACTCGCTTTTGAGCCTCGGCAAAGCACACGGCCACGATCGAGTCGAGGTGGATGACGCCGCGGAGGATGGCCACACAGTCTAAACGGGAGAAAATAGTAAAACAGTTACCAAATTTCTACCTTTGCAGCATTTTTTAAAGTTTTAGATAGTCTTTTAGTTGAAAAATAGATAGCAAGTTATAGATTACCAAAACACGATTAAAACACTTTCTATTAGGATTACCCCCGCTAACAGTCCAGTACCCAACTAGCTACAAGAACGAAACGTACGGAACGTCTCGCGAACCATGTACTCGGTGACAAACGACAGCCCCGGGGCGTTCGGGCGATACAGTTTCATGTCGTAGTTTCTATAGGTCAGATCGCGGGGTTTGATGTCTAAATCGTAACATCGACAAAAAAAAGCTAAAACAATACCGGGCATATGCTGATTGGCGGTATGTGTGTGGGTGTCATTCTCCACTTCCGGTGGGCAATTCGGTCCATTCGAGCGGACAACACCGCCATGTTTGATGGTAGAGAAGAGGGGCTCGAGGTGGGTCTCGTCCAACTCTTCCGAGAGGCCGAAGAACGAGCGGCTGAAACAGAGAGTTCTTCCAACTTTTTATAAGGATCCATTTTTGCGAATATAAATAGAGGAAGAGTTTCTAAATTATCATTAAGTTCCTAAGCGTAAAAACTTTACAAAGTTTCACTAAAAATACAAAAATAACAATTTTTCGACTTCAATGTCAACTATACAATACAAGGAGCGCACCAACCACGCCCGCCACCCTAACCCACCCACCACACCTCCCCACCCCACAACACCCCCCAGCGAAACCCCCTCAAAAACTACACGAAACCCCGAGGCTCAGAACCCCCACCGAAACCTTCAAAAACCACCAAAACCTCCTGAGCCAGACACCCCCCAGCTGAAACCCTTCAAAAACTACCAAATACCTTCCGATGCTTCAGATACCCCCATGGCTGAAACCCCTTCAAAAACTACCTAAACACCTTCCTGATGGCTTTAGATACCCCCCCTAGCCAAACCCTTCAAATACTACCTAAATACCTCCCATGGCTTAAGACACCCCCAGGCGAAACCCCTTCAAAAACTACCTAAATACCTTCCTGATGGCTTCAGATACCCCCATGGCTGAAATCCCCTTCAAAAACTACCTAAATCCCTTCCTGATGGCTTCAGATACCCCCCATGGCTGAAATCCCCTTCAAAAACTACCTAAACACCTTCCTGATGGCTTCAGATACCCCCATAGCCGAAATCCCCTTCAAATACTACCTAAATACCTTCCCGATGGCTTAAGATACCCCCCATGGCTGAAATCCCCTTCAAAAACTACCTAAATACCTTCCTGATGGCTTAGATGATTTAAATAATTAATTAACATAATTAAAAAGTATTAAAAGATAAAAAGTATTAAAGTAATTAAAAAGCATCTGGGCGCGGGAAGGGGCCTGGGGAAGAGGGGCGAAGGGAAAGGGGGCGTGGCCTCCCGGGAGAGGGGCCCCCACCCCTTTTACTAAGGAAAAACTTTCAAAGTTAATTTTAATAATTTAAACAAAAACTTTTTCGTAATTTTTTAATCAGTTTGGGGGTTTCTGACCACGCTCTATCCGAATCCGAAGAGAGCTAAGCTCTAGCTCATTTCCCCTTCGAGTTGAATTCGGCTTCAGACAGACGGACGGACGGAGACCACAGCAAAATTATTATAGTTGATTTTTGGAGGTTTTGCCACATTTTATTTACGAAAACCATAAAAATACTCAAACTGCTCACTTGGTATTGGTATAGGCCAAATGGGCGTGTGCGGTGAGGGTGTGGTCCTTGAATTTGTTGTGCAGGCAGCGGATCTGCGTGTTCGCCACCGCCTTCATCAGCTCGTTGTCGCGCGTCGTGCGGAAGCGGAGCAGCTCGCTAAAATTTATAGGTAACTTTAAAATTGGAACAAATCAATTTCTCGACCAAAAATAGCGATTTCAGCGACTCTCACATCTCCGAAAAATTTCCAGGTTTGCCAAACAACTTTTCCACTTAAAATATAACCAAATTTTGCGAAAATGACTCTGAAAAATCGAAAACTGGCAGAAAACCGACTCAATATCCTCGTTGCACGACTCGACGGGGCCCATCACGGCCGCCTGGCTCATCGCATTCATGTAGTCTTCCGGGGTCTTGATGTAGATTTCGCTGGAAAGTAAAAGCTGCTAAAATTGGCACTGGTTCGTTATTGGGGGTGGGGGCTAGCGACTCGTCACTTTTTGCAGCTTTCAACATGTAGAAAACACCATCGTTCTTTAGAAACTTTTATAAATTGACATTTTTAGCCTTCCTTATCATCTAAAAATTTCGAAAATTCCTCAAAGAACCTCGGCTAGCTTGCCCTCGTTCTCAAAAAATTTCCGAAAAACACTGACGTATTTCCAGGATCCTCGATCAGCCACGATTGTACCCCTCTGACCATATCCCAGTCTTTTCCGGCAGCGTTGTCTTCGTTGGCTGAAGCGAATCGATTATGATATCCAATTCTGGGCAACGTTACCAGTAATGTAGGAGACGAACAGGATGCCGAGCAGGACAAGCCAAAAGCTCGCGATTAGGCTGTATCTAAAAAGCCATACAAATCAAAGAGAAAACAGATAAAAACTGACAGAGCCTCAGTGAAGCGGCGCTTCTTGAGGTATTTGGTGTGCTCCTTCTCGCGCCACCATTCCGTCGACACCTTCGAGGAGGTGACCGCGTGGTCCGGATAACTGCAAAAAAATTGAGCATCTCTTTCGCTAGTCAAAAAAGATATAGAAACCTCAAAAAGAATACGAAAATGTGGTATTTTTGCGAAAATCTATACGTTTCGTGAATTTTCATCAGTTTGAAACATTTTTACGTTTGTAAATAGTAGAAAAAGGATAGAACCGCCTCTTTCATTTAAAAAAAGGAAAAAGTGCGTAAGCTTTTGCACTAGAACGAAACTGCCCTACCCATCAGAGCCGACCGATCCGTAGCCGGGCTCTTAAAAAAAACAAATTTTGAGCGTATAACTTGAGCACGAACTTGGATATCCTCCTCCTCCGCCAGTGCCCTGTTTCTTGTGGGCCGTCGGGTAGCTGTTGCGGTTGTCAGCAGGAATCGAATGTTTCCCCCCACCGCCGGCCTTCGCCTTGCCGCTTTTGTCTGGCAAACAAAATACTTGTTAATAAAGATATAAAATTCTTTAATTCGAGGCTTGTCTATAAAATCTAGTGCTATTTTTTGATTCCTACAGTAAAGAAAAACTCCTTCTTAACTTGGCCAGCAAAGAAATTATAGTTTTTTAAACTTTGCTATCAATAAAAATATGAAAATCTACCTTAAAATTTCGTCTAGATCTATTTTTGCAATTCTTCGAGCAAATTTCTCTAGCAAAAGAGTCACTTGTAAAAGTAAAATCTAGCTAAAACAAAACAATTGGTTAACCCACCCATCTTGCCGAGAGCAGGGAAAACGGAATACCGTGTTTTGGTGTGTTTTTTTGGGGGTGCGAACTTTTCCAAAAACTATTACTCCAAAAAATTCAAAGCACGAATTATTGAAATTAAGTGAAGCGCGCCAAAAAAAGAGGAAATACCCGCAAGGAGGACCCAGAGCCAATGAGACACACCAAAAACAACAGCAACAAGAAGAAAAGGGGAAAAAAGGACGTGATGAGACCGGGATTATCACAAAAACATCTCTAAAATAGCGTACAAGATTGCTATTTAAAAGCTATTTAAAATGTCGCCAGGCAGCGATGGCTGCGAGGGCGCTGAGGGCAGAGATGGCCGATATGCACAGCAGTTGGGCCGAGTGACTAAAGATGAAAAATTTGATAGCGGGCTTTTCATGTCAAACCTCTCCTCGGGTTTTCGGCTTCTCGTGGACCGCTGTCTGGCGTAGGTTGAGGCAGAGATCTGAGACAATGATTAGGGAATTGATTGTAAACTGACGAGTCTCTCCTCATATTGTTGTTCGCGGATGCCGGCCGGCAAATCGTACTGATCCATCGTCACCAACCACGAGCACACACGGCCAAAACTAAACGGGGGAATGTAGAAAGCTAGCAGAGAATCTTTGCGAATTTGGGACAGGCTAGCAGAAAGGCTTTGCCCATTCAGGGCAGGCAGCTAGCAGGTTGTTTTTGGTTTTAGGGAAGCCCAGCAGGGGTGGTTTTGGTTAGGGGAAAATGAAGCTTTTGCGGATTTAGGGCTAATTAGCGGAGATTCTTTGCGGATTTAGGGATCGCTAGTAGAGATCCTTGGGGGTTAGATCAAGCTAGCAGAGCGCCTTTGCGAATTTGTGGCAAACCTTTAAAAGCAAAATAGACCTTTGAGGAATAAGGGCAAATTAGCAGTGATTCTTTGGGAATTTGGGGCAAGTTAGCAGGGATCATTTGGGAAGAGAGAGACGGAGTAAATTAAAAAACCCCAAAAAAGCTGACAATTCTGCTGTTTACAGGCCAAGAAGGACTTAACCACCATAATTTTTACTTGGAAAAAGGTTAACCCCCTAGAAATTGGTGTTTTCAAGTCTCAAAAATCACCACATTTCTAGGATTAAGCCGAGTCTAAGACGATTCTAAGCAAAAGGTGACAAATTCCCGGGTCTCGAACTAATTATTTGAGGGTCCAGGGTGAAGGTGATTAATCCCCGGGGTGTTTTCCAGCCTGCCACGCTCCCCCTAAAATGTGTAGGTGTGTGTATATTTGCGCCCTCCTCCAAACCCGAATTATCCGGCGGATCATCCACCGTATCCCTTTCTAGTGCAAATCCCTCACAAAGCACTCACGTATTAGCCGTATTTGTAGCAATCTCGATGTATGCCCGCGTGGGGGCGAGCCGCGCATCAACCCGGGTCGACCCGAAACGCCTACGCACGTCGTGGCGGAATGTCGTGTAGTCTTGCTCGCTGATCTAGACTCGATTACGATGGGCAAATCATAGAGCACTGACCAGTGTCGGCTCATTACTCAGCAACGTGACGATCCAACGAACAGGGGCTATCGATTGGGCCCAGGCTGGAAATACATATACATTGCGTAACCGGCTAGACCCACCAGGCCCGGCTCGTTTCGGCGTCAACCGGAAGATGTGCGGGCGCTCGCCGGCCGGATCGGAGCCTATCTGAAAAATGGGGGATACGGTAATCAGGCTAACTTTTACCAAATTACAGTACAGCGAATCCATCAGCCGGACGGGGATACGGTTGGCGAAATCGGCGCGGCAGACGTAGATGAGGTTCTCGAGGGGCCACAGCTTGTTGAACGCGTATTTGTCCTTGTTCCTGAAAAATGGGATTTTTCTCAAAGGTCTATGCTAGTTTTCCTCTCAAGCGGCAGATTGAAATCGACGAAAGTCGTCAAAAATCTCTGCTAGTTTCCCTAATCAAGACAAAACAACAAAAAAAAGAGGTCCGTCGTCCGTCTCCCGGATTCAACTCGAAGGGGAAAGGAGCTAGAGCTTAGGTCTCTTCGGATTCGGATAGAGCGTGGTCAGAAACCCCCAAACTGATAAAAAAAATTATGAAAAACTTTTAGTTTAAATTATTAGAATTAACTTGAAAGTTTTCCTAGTAAAAGGGGGGGGGACGGAGGTTGGGGTGATTTTGGACATAGTGAGCCAGGTGGCGCGTTTCGTGGATGAAAATTTTCACGGGGATTCATTTCTTTCTCTCATCCACCGGTCGGTCGTTATTTTTGTTTTTAAGGGATTTCGGGCTAGGGGAGGTATTAAACCATCAGGAAGGTATTTAGGTAGTTTTGAAGGGGATTTCAGCCATGCGGGTATCTAGCTATCGGGAAGGTATTTAGGTAATTTTGAAGGATTTCAGCCATGGGGTATCTGAGCCATCAGGAAGGTATTTAGGTAGTTTTGAAGGATTTCAGCCATGGGGGTATCTGAGCCATCAGGAAGGTATTTAGGTAGTTTGAAGGGATTTCAGCCATGGGGTATCAAGCCATCAGGAAGGTATTTAGGTAGTTTTGAAGGGATTTCAGCCATGGGGGGTATCTGTAGCTATCGGGAAGGTATTTAGGTAGTTTTGAAGGGATTCAGCCATGGGGGTATCTAGCTATCGGGAAGGTATTTAGGTAGTTTTGAAGGGATTTCAGCCATGGGGGTATCAGCCATCAGGAAGGTATTTAGGTAGTTTTGAAGGGATTTCAGCCATGGGGGTACGAGCCATCAGGAAGGTATTTAGGTAGTTTTTGAAGGATCAGCCATGGGGGTATCTGAAGCCATCAGGAAGGTATTTAGGTCTTTTGAAGGGATCAGCCATGCGGGTATCTGAAGCTATCGGGAAGGTATTAGGTAATTTGAAGGGATTGCCATGGGGGTATCTAGCCATCAGGAAGGTATTTAGGTCGTTTTTGAAGGGATTCACCATGCGGGTATCTAGCTATCGGGAAGGTATTTAGGTAATTTTTGAAGGGATTCAGCCATGGGGGTATCTAGCCATCAGGAAGGTATTTAGTAGTTTTGAAGGCAGCCATGGGGGTATCTAAGCCATCAGAAGGTATTAGGTAGTTTTAAGGATCAGCCATGGGGGTACGTAGCTATCGGGAAGGTATTTAGGTAGTTTTGAAGGATTTCAGCCAGGGGTACTAGCTATCGGGAAGGTATTTAGGTAGTTTTTGAAGGGGATCAGCCATGGGGGTATCGAGCCATCAGGAAGGTATTTAGGTAGTTTTAAGGGGATTCAGCCATGGGGGTATCTAAGCCACGGAAGGTATTAGGTCGTTTTTGAAGGGATTCAGCCATGGTACTGAGCTACGGGAAGGTATTTAGGTAATTTTGAAGGGATTCAGCCATGGGGGTATCTGAGCCATCAGGAAGGTATTTAGGTAGTTTTGAAGGGATTTCAGCCATGGGGTACTGAGCCACAGAAGGTATTTAGGTCGTTTTGAAGGATCAGCCATGGTACAGCTATCGGAAATTAGGTAATTTTGAAGGGGATTCGCCATGGGGGTATCTGAAGCCACAGGAAGGTATTTAGGTAGTTTTGAAGGGATTCAGCCATGGGGGTATCGCTATCGGGAAGGTATTTAGGTAGTTTTTAAGGGATTTCAGCCATGGGGGTATCTAGCCATCAGGAAGGTATTTAGGAGTTTGAAGGATTTCAGCCATGGGGATCTGTAGCTATCGGGAAGGTATTAGGTAGTTTTGAAGGATTTCAGCCATGGGGGTATCAACCATCAAAGGTATTTAGGTAGTTTGAAGGACAGCCATGGGGTAAGCTATCGGAAGGTATTTAGGAGTTTGAAGGGACAGCCAGGGTATAGCCATCAGGAAGGATCGGTATTAAGGATTTCAGCCATGGGGGTATCGACCATCAGAAGGTATTTAGGTAGTTTAAGGATTTCGGCTATGGGGAGGGCCATCAGGGTTCTAGGTTTTAACGGGGGTTTCGTTGGGGGTATCTAGCCATCGACGGATATTGATAAAGTTAGGGGATTGGTGGTAGGAGGGATTAAGCGAGGTTATGTGTTCCCTAATAAACTTTGCTGCTTGCCCAGACTAGCAAAGATACTCCCCAAGAATCTCCGCTAGATTGCCTCTCGAGCCCTCAACGTAAAACTACAGAAAATGCTTCCGAAACTCTGCCAGTTTGCCACAAATTCTCCAAAGATCTCCGCCCGTTTTACCCCGATCACCTTTTAGGTAGCACTTCTTGGCCCGGTCATATTTACATAGCGTAACGGATCGGCGAGATCATTGGCCGCACACGTATACGCGCATCCGCTTGGCGCGGGGGGGGGGGAGCTGTCAACGCGGTCAAGGCATCGGAAGAGAGAGAGAGAGAGAGAGAGAGAGAGAGAGAGAGAGAGAGAGGGGGGGGGGAGAGAGAGAGAGAGAGAGAGAGATGACGCTCTACCCGATCCCCCCATTTGACATGTCCAGATGATGATGTTGGTGGTGATGCTGTAGATGTGCCCCCTCCCTATCAACTTGCCATCCCCCTTCAGATGGTTGATATATAAAGTGTGGGTCTTGGGCCAGCCATCAGCCCATCATCCCCAGCTTCTTCTTCTTCTATCAAAATGGCATACCTCAAGTCTGCTCTGCTATCCCTTGCCCTCTTTGGAGTACTGTATATGGCCCAGGTAAATCATTTACAGGCTCTATCTCCGGGCAGGAACATCAGGATTTCATGATTTTTACAGCACTGGGAAGCTCTTAAAAACGCGAAAATAAGCCTAAGCCTAAGCATGATTTTGACAGCATTAAAAGCCCATTGAAAATGCTATAAAAATAAACGAGTTTTTCGTCGATAAAATCTGCTAAAATCGGTTAAATAATTAACAAAAAAGTTTTTGAGAGCCCTTAAATGGTCTAACAATCATTCCATTCCAATCCACCCCACACGAAAGATCCCCCGTTTTCAGGCAGCTCCCACCAATCGTGATGCGGCCACCACCGAGTTGGCCACTACCACAGAATTGGCTGTACCGGAAACGACGGCAATTGACACGCTGAGTGAGGGCGACGGTACGGGGATTCGCGTGAAGAGGAATGGCTGCTGTGGATGTGGATGCTGTTGCTGTAGACCGTAAGTCAAAAAGCACAAATACTAATTTTAAGAATTCTTTTAGGTGCTGCTGCTGCTGTCGGCCGTGAGTTGGAATCGATTACGACGTTAAATTCCCGGTCCTAATCGTATTAAAATCGACCCATTTTCTCGAAAATCGAATTTCTGGGCTGACTCGATCGATTACGATATCAAAATTTGACATTTAATCCGGCTAAAATGGGCCTAATTTCGCCAAAAACATGGAATTTCTGAGCTGATTCGATTGAGTACGGCAAAAATCTGGTCGCTAATCTCGTGAAACTAAACTTCTAGGTGCTGTTGCTGCCGTTGTTGCCGTTGCTGCACGTGCTGCACGACTTGCTGCAGATGTTGCCGATGCTGCTGTTGCAGGCCATGGTCAGTTGTAGCTTGTATTCAAGAGTCTAGCCAGCGCTCCCCCAAGAATCCCTGCTAGTTTCCCTAACCTAAACACAATTTCTGCAAGTTAGCCGGATAGAACAGAAGGGATTGTAGTGAAGCCGGGGCGCGGGACGGCCGCTAATCCGCTTAAGAAGTGTGCCACATTTCTCATCTAGCTTATTTGGACTCTAGAATCGAGTATTGATGACAAAATGAGAATGAGAACCTGGAGATATCTGGCAAAACAATTCAGCTTGAAAAGAAAGTTTTAAGCTTTTTCTCAATGTCAGCAAAATTTGCTTTTCAAACCTAGAGATTTTTGGTGCCTGGAAGAGGGGCAAAAATTGCTTTTTAAGTTTTTTAAAGCCGTGTAACAGTCTGGAATCAGCTAAGGAAATCCAAATTCAGCTGCTGCGGCTGCTGCGGATGTGGATGCTGCGGATGCGGAGGAGGAAGGAAGAGGAGGGCGCTCCAGAACCTCAAGATCCGCCTGGCCGACAAGATCGAGAAGGAGACACGGTCGGGATAGATTTCAAACTACAACAATGTCTAAGCTAAGCTCCCAAGCCTAAACCTAAGCTAAAGCCCAAAGCCAAGCTAAACGAAGTCTAATCCCCACCATTTAGTGAGGGAGTCCCCGCCATCACCGCCGAGGAGAAGCCGACGGTAACTGAGGAGGAACAGGAGGAGATCAGCGAGGCCAACAAGTATCAAAAAATTGCATATCATAGCTGATGCTCAAAATTTAGGCCCGACGCCGAGATCCAACTGCCCGAACCGGTCTACAATCTGGAGAAGGAGGTCGAGAAGACTGAGCAACAACAGCAAAAATGGGCCCTGAACTAAGGCTACAAAGTACAGCTGATGATCACGATTGTTCTCCCGGGCCCTCAGTATTTATTTTTTTATTAATAAGTTATTTTGTGTCCCAATAATTATTGTTGTTATGGGAATAAAGGTGACCAATCTACCGTAACGCATAACTCTACAGTACCTATTCATCGCATGTAGGTAGGCCAGCTTGACGAAGACCTCGCCGGTGATGAGTGCGTCGAAGGCCGCGTTGTGGTAGTGCTCATCGGCTGAAAAAGAAGAGTTTTGTTGGCAAGCTAGCAGAAATTCATGGAGAAAGCAGGGTTAACTTGCAAAGATTCTTTGAGGAAATCGCTTGCAGCTAGCAGAGATTCTTTGAGGAGGCCGGGCAATATTGCAGAGATTCTGGAGGAAGGATTGATTGCAAAAATTCTCCAGGCAATTTTAGCCAATTTAGGGAAACCTAGCAGAGATTCTTTGAGAAATCTTCATAAAAACTGACGCGTAAACGCTGATTGCGAGTGGTATGAGGTGAACGACACGGTGAGGGGCAGTATCTCTCCGCAAGACGGCCTAAAATAAATAAACTGATTTTTTTGAATCCTCACGAGTGGAAGAAGCTGCCGAGGGTTTGCAGCGAGAAATCGGTGACGCCGTGCTTTCGGAGGAGCTGAAAAAAAAACAGAATAAAAATATAGAAAAATTTGCGTACATCTTGCAGCGATGCGGCCATGATTTTCGTATCGATGATGCAGGGGAAAAGTCGATGGAGGGCTCCTTTCCATGCGGAGTACTCCTCTAAAAAATTACCGCAGTTTTAGAAAAGGCCAATTCTACCCGGCAGCTCGTACTCGAAGCAGTGATACGTGTAGAGCAGGTCGAGGAGTGAATTGTGGGCGATGATCGGCTAAATTAGATAATTTTTTTATCCAAAATCTAATATAATTTTTAATTTTGCCTAGTAAAAGCCCTCGAACTTTCAGAATTAATTATCTAATAGAATTAAAATTTAAAAGTCTTACTGATACGAAAACTTGATACCTTCTTTTCCTCGGCCATCCAGTGGATCAACTGCGACAGGCCAGAGATTTCGATCATTACACTAAAAACGCAAAGTAAAGCAGGATTAAAGAATCTACTTTTCCAGCAACACTCTCAGCCGCTCTTCCCCGACATCACCACGCCGGAAGATGCGCTGCTGCTCGGCGCAATACAACTAAAATAAAAATAACGATTCGATTGCGTAATCGATTACAATAGTCCTCGTGGGGTCGACGTGGAATTCACAATTCGGAAACTGGAGGGTCATCTCGTAGACGACAATCGACGCCTCGACCGGGGACAGCTCGCGATCCCAGAGTGGGGCACTGAAAAAGGCTTTTAAACTTTTTAAACCCTTCAACACATATTTTGAGTTCATTACAACAATTTTTAACCTCCAGTCAATTTTCTAGGTTCCTAGAGGCGCTAAAACCACTTCTAAACTTTTTCTAACTTTTAGATTTTCTCGAAAACCTACATTTTTCATTTTATTACACCAATTTTCATCCTCATCTCCATTTTCTAGGCTTGTCGAAGCTGGGGGTCACTCTCCGAGCAAAACAATTGGCGCGTGGATCAACCGCGGGACGACTTATGGGGGAGCTTATGGCTTAAAATGGGGATAAAGAGGATGGCTTTGATGACCCGACAGGAGGGGCAGAGGGGATCATCTCCAGTAGTCGGACTATAATGCTTGTGGACTTCTAGTGGCACGGTTGGCGCTCGAATGCAGACAAAATGGTTTAAATAAGAATAACGCGATAATTTTCTCGCGCTCGATCCCACAAACAAAACGATTTCAAGTACTCGCAAATAGCCGGAGTGCTAGGAGTCAACGGAAATATCACGTATCAAGTTGCAGAAAAAATCGGCAATCTATCTAGGATTACTGTCGTCTCAAAGCCAAATCCGAAGGATCAAGAGATCCCGGAACTCAATAAGTTCCGTTTAGAGCGGCGAAAAACTGGGTTTTTCTATCCGGAAGTAGACAGGTGAGTCGCGCATCATTTTCTAGACTAAATTCTAGTATACCTAACAGGCGCCATTCCCTCTGTCGCGTAGACGATGCCTTCGGGTGATAGCTGAATCAGCATGGGCCCAACCAGATTCAATGGCCCTTCAACTGCCATCGATGCCGTCTTTCTTCTGCGCACCGCTGACGACTCCAGGAACGCCGGGTTCTGAAATACAACGGAATTTATCGTATTTTAAGATGTTTTAGATAGAAACTTCTATTTTTTTCATTAACTCAACCCTAACATTTCGGCGTTGCAAAGCATCCTAGAAAATTTATCTAAACAATTAAAATACTCGCTATTAATTGCTAAGCATATCTCGGCTAATAGAAAAAAAATGCGTTGTCGATTTTTTGAAAAAAAGGTATGTCTCTTTTTCGTGATCTTATTGATAGTTCCCAATTTCTGCAAGTATTTCCAACTTCCGAAACTTGCAACGTCCATTCAGTGAATGAGTCTACATCCTTAATCTCCCTCCCCTACCAACCACCGGACGCACATCTGTGTCCCGCCGGGTCACTGCAGGGCTTCTACTTTCCTTTTTTCCTTTTCTTTCCTCGATTCCCCCTACTGTCAAAAGAAGAAACCCCGCAACGAACAGACACATGCGTGCATCATTCCAAAGTTTTCCGCAATTCGAGATTGGTTATAGCCGGATGGTACCCAAATACCCCCCGAATTTCCGCTCGTCATTCCCTTCCTTTTTCCGGGATTTTCAAACGCATGATATGATAAAAATCGGCGTCATAAGTTCAGACGAAAACAACACAAATTTCTCACACAATAGAAAGGGACTCTCAAAAGCTCTTACATTGTGAATGTGGGCCTCCTCGAGCACGTGCAGCTTCAGCATTTTGATGCGGTATTCCAGGTTGTCGGCAAAAATGCTAAAAAGTGCATGTAAAAAATTGAGAGCGGAAATAGCGTACTCGTAGTCAATCTCCTGGCGTTCGATTTCTTTCCTGTATCGAGCCAGATCATTTTTGTTTGCGTAGGAGACACCGTCGGCCACTAGCTGAAAAAAAAATTAGTATTTACAAAATTCAAAACTGTTTGCAACATCGATTGAAATAGTTCTATTTTACAAATCTCTGACCTTGTTGAAGTCGAACTTGTGCTTAGCGAGAAATTTCATCGACGGCAGCTCGAAGGAGAACACTTTTGGGGTCAACCGCTTGAAGACGGGGAACGAGAACACCTCGGCGCAATAGCTAGAAGAAAGATGAATTTTTCTCTTTTTGAGCATATTTACCTGCCCTCATCGTTGTTCATAAAGCAGGCGATGCCCAGCTGGCACGGTGGGAACTTCCGGACCGACTCCAGGTATTTTGTGTATCTATAAAATTGCGTATTTTAAAGAATTTAAAGATATTTTAGACCTTGTTTCGGGGGAATCGAAAAGCGAGACGACATCTTCAGTGGTAGGAATTCCGAGGAATTCGTAGTCGATTGCTAAATGGTTGTAAAGTTATAGAATTACTTTTCTCACCTATAAACGACGATTTGGAGATGGTGCTCTTCAGCGTGGGCAGCCATTCCCTCAAGTTTGTGTGCGTCACATCCACCATTTGAGGAGAATTACCTGTAAAAGAAAATTAGAAAAACTAACAATTATAACAAAAACATGAAAGGAAAAGCTGCAGACCGGAAAGTACCTGCAAAGAACAAAACTTAAAACAACTTATCGAAAAGTACAGAAAGCCACGTAGACTAAAGTCAAGTACAAACGTCCGGAAAACCCGGAAAAATGCGGTAATTTGCGAGAATTTAATTTTAGCCCCCCGTTCTACGCGCCCTAATCTGTTCATCACGACCGCGAAGAAAATTAACGAAGCCCTCGCCTGTTCTAAATTTGGCCCCCTATTTTCCACAAAAAGTGAACCCCCCGTTTTACGCGCGTCGAAATGGATTAGCTGGCCGCCTGGAACTACACGCTCAAATCCCATTTTCGGACATGCCGGATAAATCTAAAGATTTGACGTAGATGGATTTGAGTAACCGGGGGACATAACACACGAAAAATCGCATTTCCGAAAGGGGCTTTTGTTCGCCTGCCGGTTCGACGCCTGAAAACGAATTACAAACCAGAAGTAAATCGGCGGTGTGTCACTAGCTTTAATGATTCTATGCTCGCTCAAATCTCTCGAACTCCTCTAAAACGATCCGGCAATGTTCGGCGAAGCTGTAGAGTTTCCCTGAAACTCCAATGATCGCCTATTTGGGGGGGGGGGATATTTTGAAGGTTTCCGTGCTGAAAAATAGGGCCCAGACATTATTAATCACCCAGATAGATCTCTAGCAAATGGAGCGAACTTTCGATGCGAAAAAGTTGTTTTTGAAACCCTTGCTGGAAACATGGAGAATTCGATTGTCATTTTTCATTTCCCGATTTTTCAAACTTTGATTGGGAAACGTGGCGAAGCCAGATATAGTCCTAGTCTGCAAGTATTATGACGCTACCCTTTTGTGAGTATGGAAAATCTGAAGGTCCACGTTCTACGTGAAACATAACTTCCAATCCTAATTTTTCTGAATTTCCGCCTTCTCCGGCCATTTGCACAGGTTCACACGTCAGCAGCAAGAGCTAGCAAATCTTGGAGCATCGGCCGCTCGGACGTGACGGCAATTACGGGGGGTGTTTAGGTGGCCACTAGCAATCGGTGAGCCGAATCTATTCCGGGGCGTGGATTCACGTAACTTGCAACGTCTACTAGTAGCCGAACACTCGCTGCGTCTAAAAAAGTGTAAAATCCATCAAAATCTCACAACACATTTTTCACTATCGCTCCAGTTGGCCTAATACCCGAATATAAGGGGGGCTTGAATATAGTTTTTAGTAATTTCTTCATATCAAAAACTTTTTAAAAAAAAGAAAAATGTTCTAAAACCCAGAATTTGCGTTATTTTCGACCTCAAATTGAAATTTGCAACGTTTTGATCTAAATAACCAAATTCTCGACCTCTATAAAAATCCTAGCCTTAAAAATGTAGCCTCCCTGAACTCCTTCAAAAACCCAAGTCTACCTTCTTGCTGCAGCAACGGTCTGAACTTCCCAACTCTCAAGGCTTCACTACAAGCTTCCCATCACTAATCACATCGACACAAAACACAAAGGGTGAAAGCAACCCGAGGAAGCCCGAGAAAAAAACTTCCGGTAAAGCTCACCCCTCTCCTCCCACCCCCACTTCCTGATCTAAATCCAGTCTCCTCCTCATCACTCGCTTCTTGTTGACCTGGATCAACCAGATCCGGGTCGTCGTCAAATCCCCCTGTAATATCTACAGGATTACGAGCTCCTCTATTGAACCCCGCCCCTCTCCATGAAGTTGAGCTTCCTTCTCTAGCCAGCCGAGGCGAGAGATGGGTTGGGCCCTCGTGGGCCCTAAGCCCCGCCCATCTGGTTGGCCCTCTACCGTGTCCCAGATAGATTCAGATCCCCCAGAATTTCGAGGGGATTCGGCCCCGGTTTGCCTCTCAAGGCTCTTCTATGGCTTCATTCCGGCCGCTCGGACTTGATTAATTTTCGAATGGCCTTAATCCTCAAATTTGTGCCTTGAAAATCCTTACTTTATCTATACGACTACCGTATCCCCAGATCTTCAATGTGTTCTCAACGCGTTTTCAAAGCTTCATCCTGAAAAAAACTAGATCTGCAGCTAAAAAAAAACATAATTTTAGCGTCCGCTCAATGGCAGCACCCTCTCGACTCGAACGAATAACCCGCCAAGCAGTCCTCCTCTTCCTACTACATTTGTGCCTCTGCCAGGCCTATCCACAAATGAATATGATCATCCGGGTACCGCAGAGTGAGGGGTTAGTTTTCACTTCCCAATCCCTTTAAAAAAGTGGATCGACATACACCGACGACTTGATCGAGCTTTTATAGCAAACCGCGAATTTTTCCGCAAGCAAAAGAAACCTAAAATCGTGAAATCTAGAGGAAACATGTTTTCCGACTAACCCCCAAATTTTCAGATCCAAAGAAGCATTACTGGGACGAATTGAGCACGAGATGGAGCGACGACAAATGTATGAAGAGCTCCGGGTCCTAAAGGAAAACCTCGGCTCCGAGGAGATGCAGCAACGCATCCGGAAAACAAAACGGAATAAGCGAGTGATGGAGGAATTTGACCCGGTTAGTTTTACATAAAAACAATTTTCTAATTTTGTTTTTAACGGATTTTAACGGGATTTCCCTGCCTATATGCAAAAAGGTGTAGGCGCGATGTTCTATTTTCGAGGCTCGGATAGGTTATTCTAGGTCTAGAATAGAGGAAAAGGAGGGGGTGACGGGCAACTTCTGGGTCTCCCCTGCCCTGCAGATCCCTAGAATATTCAGAAGGGTCGAGCAACATCTTTGCGCCTAGAAACTTATTAGGTCAAAAACTGGGGGCTAGCAGAAACTCTTGAGGAATAGGGCAGGCTAGCAGTGGCAATTTGAGCGAAATTCGAGCTCACACGCTCTAAAATTGGAATTCTAGGAGAGTCGCGCACCTTCTTTGCACCTACAAAAAAATTAGGTCAAAAGTCGGGAGTACTAGCAGAAACCCCCTGAGGAACAGGGCAGGCTCGCAGAAGCACTTTGCGCAATATCGAGCTCAGACGTTCTAAAAATAGGGCCAAGTTTCGGCATTTTAGGGGGTCATCTAATCCTACAATCCCCCGAGTTTGAAGCCTCAAAAATCTCAAAAACCACTTCTATTACAGCGCAAACAGCAGGAGGAGTCGGCGAAGAGATTTGGAAGGATCGGCGGGTCAATTATTATGGGAAAGCGGAGATGAGCCACTACGAGCAGCCCATCTTGGCCACGACCACAATGCTAGCGCCGTAAAAACCCTGTATCTAGAGGATAGTGTAATACCAAGAATTTCTTCATTGCTATACAAAACTTAAAAAACTCCCCCTAGTTCTTTATAAACTAAACAAACAAATACAAAACTAGAAACTAGAGTCCTTATTTCGTTTTATTGTCATTATCGTATCTGTTAGGTCCCAATGTTATAAACGGGTATTCCCCCATTGTATTTTGTTAATATTAACAAGGTACCTTACCCCGAAATCGACAAAAGTCAACAATCCATTTCCCCTTGATTGCGATTATTCTTTGCCAGCCATTCCCCGATACGAGTACTTGTTCCCCACATTATTTTTATAGATCTAATTCATGTTATTTTGATAAAATAATGGATAAAGATCCTGATGTCAAAAAGAAAACCTAGTTATTAAAATACTAAAAAAACGCAAACTAAATGCAAAAAAAATGGCTCCAGATAGATACGAACAAAAATCAAAACCCAATACCGCGTGGTTTGTGCAATCCCTTTATTTCTACAACAAAAATCAACAGTAAGCAGCAATAACAAGATATGTAATAACACGAAAGATTACTGTAATTTCAACTTCTTCGCCTTCTTCTTGAGGGAGGCCACGTCGACGGTCGGCTCCTCCTTCCGCTTCGTCACTTTTTCCATGGGTTTCTCGGGCTTCGGGATGAGCGTTGCGTTTCGTTCCCTGAAAAAAGGGGATTTATAAAATAGTAGAAAACGCTTAAAAATCGAAAATATTCCTAAAACCGACTTGATGCGCTCCTTTGTCCTCTGCTGCATCTTTTCGGCTTTTTCCCTCTTCTTGTCGCGTTCCCGCTTTTCTTCCGTGATAAAGTACTCACCCGTCTCCAGCATCTTGTCCACCTAAAAAAAGAATTTAATACAGCTTTTCGAAAATCACTTTTTCTAAAACAAGAATTTAAAAAGATTGCGTCGAGTTAGCCATACGAAATGGTCAACAAAAGTCAGACAGCAATCAAATTTTTCAAAAAGTCCGTGCAATAAATTGCTTTAATTTTCCAATTTTCTAAAAATACCTTGCTGGGCTGCTGTGCGGGTGGATAGGGGGTGTACTCGGGCTTTTGTTTCCACTTCTTGGCCTTCTTCTTCTTCGCCTCGGCCGTCGTCGCGGCTGATTGAACCTGAAAAGAAAGGGGGGATTAAAGCGCATATAAATTAAAGTGTAATGAAAAGATCCGGCTACAAAATCGGCTTTAGCTAGTCTAGACCTTTTCGCACAAACTACGCAAAAAAAACACACAAAGAACTGACCTTCTTCTTGAAATGGGGCAAGAATCGCTCCCAGTTCTCGTCCTTGAGCTTCTCGTTTTTGGCCAGCTCGCGCTTGATCATCAGCGTCTTGATGTTGTAGATGGGGTGAATGTTTTTCTGCATGCAATCCGTCACGATTTGCCTAGAAGAAAATGAGATTTAAGATTGGAAAAACTTACATGGCTTGCTTCAAGCCGTGAAACGGGCCAACGGCTGATACGGTGCTTCCCTGGATGGCCACATAACATTCCGTCAGCAGCTCGATTGCCTGAAAATTCAATAAACTTGTCAAAAAAACAAATTTGCTTACTTTTAAAGTGGCGCCCTCATTTCCAACTAATCGGGCTCGTCTTTTGATGAAACGTTCTTTGTTTGAGCACTAAAAACAAAGTTTTCAAAATTCTTCGGAAAATACCATGCCGGCAATCTTCAGAATTTCACACGCGACGTCATCATCCAATGCCTAAAGATTTGGAGTTTATTTTAGACCAAAATGGTATACCTTGGCGGCATTCTCAAATGGCACACTCCTCGAGATAAGCCTGATCAAATCGCGGGCTTTGATGATAATGTACGGATCCCAGGTCTTTCGTGTGGTTCGTACCGTCATCGTTCCTAAGTGTAAAGGTACAGATTGGTACAACAGAAATCGGAGTGTAGGGCGCTCCACACAAAATAGATTTCGAAATTTGAAGAAAAAAACAAAAAGAAGCACATACCTTCAATCAAATCGAGATCCGCCTTCAGCTCGTGTGGCTTCAGCGCTTTTTCCAGCAGTGGCCAGCATTCCTGAAAGTATCAAAGTTGAAACTGACATTTCCTAAAGCTACTCACCCTGATATACTTTTCCCTATACTTCGGGAAAACGCAGGAAAACGACGACTCCTCCAGTAGTCCGTTCTTATTGTCATCCTAAAACCGCATTGATAAGGATGCTAAAAATGGGTCCACCTTGGTAAAAGTGTTGATGTCCCACCACTGGGGGTCCTTGTTCGGGCCGAAATTCATCTTTTTCGGGCCAGCAACGGCCTCATCTTCCTCCGGGTCCTTTGGCCGCTCGCGGGGCGCCATTTTCTAAACAAAAATTATATATTTCAGGGGCTAAAGCTTTCTAAAAGCGTGAAAAAGCTTCAAAACTTTTAAAAGTAATAGAAAATCGGCCGTTCGGCCTGGGAAAGTGAATGTGGAGAGCGCACAGAGAGAAAGTGCGCAAAGGAGCGTTACGCAGTGGTCGATTCGAAATTTTGGGCCCGACTTTCCTCATCATTCTTCTTTTCAGAACAAAATCCTCTTTTTTTTCACGATTCTATTGCCCCTTCTAAAGCTCATTTTTCAGGTACTAAACGCAGCCCCCGTCTCGCGACACCCCACAACGACAAGATGGCGTAAGAAATTTGCGCCTAGACTAAACTAATTTCTTTTTTAGCATGGCAAAACCCCGTTCGGAGATGACGCAGGAAGAGCTGCAGGAGCAAGAAGAAAGGGAATTCACCGTTGGCCCGCTCTCCGTCCTCACGAATTCCGTGAAGAACAACTCGCAGGTATATTGAGGGTTATGGAATCATAAAATATCATTTTAGGTGCTCATCAACTGCCGAAACAACAAGAAGCTGCTTGGCCGTGTGAAGGCGTTTGATCGGTAAACAAGAGTCCTCCTCCCCTAATTTCGTATTTGTTTAGTCACTGCAACATGGTACTGGAGAACGTGAAGGAGATGTGGACCGAATTGCCGAAAAGCGGAAAGGGAAAGAAGAAGGCCAAGCCCGTCGCCCGAGATCGCTTCATCTCCAAGATGTTCCTCCGGTAATTTATATTATTTTTTGGGAGAATCACTGTTTTTAGTGGCGATTCGGTGATTCTGGTGTTGAAGAACCCGCTGGCCCAATCCGAGTAGAAGCTACACATCGTATCTCATTTCCCGCCTTGTTATTTATCGTTCTTTGTTTCGATTTTCGCCCAACTTTTTCTCATGTTATCAAGTTAATTTCAATGTGTATTTTTCGAATAAAGCAATCGTGGTTGTGAATGATAGTGGTGATCCCGACATAGACGCATTTTCCTTCTTGAAGCGATTATAATGGAATTTTATTCACAAAAACGGTTGAAGCACAGCGCTGGTAAAACTAGGACCAATGAATTGACGAGGCTAGAGGATGGTGATAGGGTCCATTCGCCCGGGAAATGGGCAGACAAGTGACTGAAAATCGGAAGAAAAAGGAAGGTAACGAGCAGAGATTATTTGTCTGCTATTAGGTATATACAATTAGGGTACTATTTAGAAAGAAGATGAAGAAGACACAGAAGCAGCCGACCGGGACGCGAATAAATTAGGCCATAGAGTGCCGAAGGGTGAAAAGGCAGCAAATTCGGGGTAAGCGAATGGGAAGGGGAAAGGCATCGATAAATATATATTTAGGGGGAAGCATCGGGGGGGGAATAAGTGAGCAGATGGAGCAGAGATTATGACGAGAGGGAAAAAGAAGAGAACTAGAGAAGAAGACAGCAATTGCAGCGATGATGATTGTATTGAACTACAGGAAATGTATGTGAATTGGATGAATTTGATATACTAAAAAAGGGAGAGAAGACGGACCCGAGAAGAAGTGGGGGGATAAATAGAGCACAAAACACATCGACGACGAAACGAAAAATGATCTCTAATCGATTGAGGCATCATGCTGGCGTGGGGAATTGGGGAAAGATGTTGATGGGGAGCTGAAGGCTGGCACCGATTGGCGTTGACGAGAGTTTGGCTCCTGAAAATAAGCGATAAAAATAGTTGGAATTTTGTAATTAGTCAGTTTTCGATAAGGAAATGCAGGATCTTTAGTATTTCCAGAGGGAAACGTACGTTTTTCCTGGCAACCGCTTTTTTTCTCATAAAAATCCAATCGAATTTTCGAACAGAAGAAAAGTCTTGGTTTTCCTTTTTTCCTAACAGTAAAACGACAATTTTGGTTAGAAAAATGCACTAATATTCTTTTTCGAGCGAAAATAACAATTTTCGACAGAAAAATGTAACATTTTTAAACATTTTCCCAGTTTTCTAAATAGTTTTTCCACTTCAAACTTAGCAAAATTCGATGCAAAGTACCAAAATCCTTGCTATTTCGTTATTGGAATATCTATATTTCTAGAAAAACCATTCGGAAATACAAAATCCACTCCTGTAAATACTCAAGAACCCAAACTGATACTTTGAAATGTGCGTGGAAAAGCTAGACTCTAGGCAGCCAGTTGGAAGGCCGCCCTATCAAAATTTTCTTTCTAAATTTCAGAATCTCTAAATTTCAGAATCTCTAAAAATCAGAATCTCTAAAAATCAGAATCTCTAAAAATCAGAATCTCTAAAAATCGGAATCTCTAAATTTCTTTGTTTCTCGCCGCCGAGCCATACAGTTTTTGGCGCAAATTGAAACGGTATGGCGCTTTTACTCAACGTCGCCTGTGAAAACTTTTTTTGGGGTAGTTTTTTGCCCTGATCACGAAAAACGTAACCACGAATCACAAAAAGTCAAAATGAATTGCTTATAGCAAAGCCAAGTTTTGAAGACAACAGTTGTAACCAAGCACGGAAAAATGGCGCTATGGAAATGCATCTACGTTTTAGGTGATTAGCGCAAAAAACTACCCCAGAAAAAGTTTTCAGGGGCGTCTTTGGGTAAAAGCACATTACAGTTTCAATTTGCGCCAAACTCTGTATGGGCTCCTGTACAAAGAAATTTAGAGATTCCGAAATTTAGAGATTCCGACATTTAGAGATTCTGACATTTAGAGATTCTGATTTTTAGAGTTTCTGATTTTTCGAGATTCTGAAATTTAGAGATTCTGAAATTTAGAGATTCTGAAATTTAGAGATTCTGAAAGTCCGCCAGTTGGAAGGTGCAAATCTAGGCGATTTCTCGAGCTTTCTAGGCAGATAGGGCATGCGGTGGGGGTGGGGATAGAGAAAAGTTGGAAATTAATAATTACCAAAGGTTCAATCGGTCGTCTTTGACTAAATTGGCAATTTAATTAGGCAGAAAAGGCAAAAATCGTACCATATAGGCATTTTCGAGCTTGACGTCTCGGCCTAGACTCGATCCATCGGAACTACGGCTATGCGAGGAGACCGGGCGATTGCGCACCATTTGTTCGAGTTCCTAGAAATAAGTAAACTAGAAAATCAGCGATAAAATACCTTTTTGCTGCCGCCAAGCACCGAATTGACATTTGAAGAAGTGCTAGAGGTGGAGCGCATGATTGGAGGGAGGAGGCTTCGACTCTAAAATTAAACAAATTATATAAATAAAGAAAAGAAGGTTAGCAGGATTTTCTAACAAAAACAGGAAAGGGGAAGATATTTCCTATACTAATTTTTAGGCTGAACTAAATTGGACATATTTAGAGCGCTTTAGCCTTTTTGTCTGCTCGAACAAAAGAGGGGGAAACGAGGTAGAGGGATTAACAAAGGGGGTTTTTACAAAAAAGGAATAAAGCATCATTTTGATGTATCCATGCTCTGCATTTTGAAGACTAGAAGTGTATGATTGAGGAGATTGAGGAGAGCTTTCGTGGTGAGGCCTAAAAATCGGGTTCCCAAAAATGATGGACGAGACTAAATGTTGTTTTTTTTTCAAAATTTCCCACCTTCTCAGCTTGTTTCTTGTCCTGTTCGCGGGCCAGATCGATGAAGTTCTGCGCCGAATCGGGGCCCATATGGGAGAGATGCTTGAAATCGGAGGGGCCAGAGATGGGCAGGGCACTTCGACGATCAGCCGCTCTATTTTGAAGATTAAGGAGATCTGTAAATGTTGCTTACTTTTGCTCGTCCTTCCCGGGCACGCGGACAGTGAATTTCCGCTTTCCGCTACGTTTTGACTTGAGACTGCCGGTTTTCGAGTTTTCAGGGAGAAGCAAGGGATCGTCACCTAGAGTGGGAAACTTAGAGAAATAGGAATTAGAAAGTTACCTCCGAGCTTATCGCTCAAAACGACAAGATACGGGAAATCGTTGACAACACAGGCGACAACCATTCCATTGACCGTCAGGGGGAAGGACTGTCTGAAAAGGGGTTTGATTAGCTAGAGAAAAGGAGAGGAGACTGAGAGAAGGAGAGAGATAGAGAGAGAGAGAGAGAGAGAGAGAGAGAGAGAGAAAACAAAAAATATTTACTTGAGATTAATCGTCTGCACCCATTCCGCGTGCGCGACGTGGAAGATGTCGATCTGAGACTCAGAGTAGACGCATAGATACGGCTCAATGTAGGAGAAGCCGTTGTGTTGTCGCGGGAGCGACGGGAGCATCAGCTCTTGAGAACGAGAGCGACGGCCTAAAAGAAGAATAAAAAGTTGTTAACCAAAAAGCACCTGTGTGATCAACGTAGACGCCGAGTTTGTTGAAAACGAGCAGGTATTCCTGGATGTCAGAGCCGTGTACCGGGACGACAATTTGAGCCTCGTAGCCGGGCTGAGAGAGGAAGGAAAGGGATTGATCCTCGTGGTCGACAAGGGCTGAAAAAAAATGAAATATTAGGGAAAAACTGGCAATTACTTACAATGAATCTTTGGCGACTCGTCCGCGAGATTCCAGCTGGAGAAGCCGTTGGGGAAACCGACGATCAGCTTCGAGCCAATGATTGACATGCATTGGGGAAGACCCGGCATTGCAAGGTCCTGAAAAAGAATAGGAAATTGGATCAAGTGGCAATTCCCTACATAGCTCATCCGCTTGTGCCTCTTCTCGGTGCGATCAACTTGAAATAGGATCACGGAGCGCTTCATCGCCGCCGCAATATACCTAAAATTCTCAATATTCATAAAATCTTCTATAAACCCACATTTGCCTGCCATCGATGCCTCCAACAGCCATCAAATGGCATCCCTTCGTGTCGGCCAGCTTGATCCACTTCAAATCACGGCCATCAAGCGCTGCAGTTGGGATCAGACGCAGATGTCTAAAAAACAACAGTATTTTAACTTTTCGAAACGAACCGATCATTGCCCTTTCCAACCATGGCAACAAAAAGCTGCTCGGACGAGATGTATTCCACCCTTTCCACGCATCGGCCCTTGTTCTCCTTCTCGCCTCCGACAGCCACCAGCGTCTAAAAAATTGGGTAAGGAAATCGAAATAACTATATTTTATTTGTAGTTTTTTATAAGAATTGATACAAATTAAAACCCGACCTCTCGATCCAATTCCACAGAATACAGCCCGTGATCGCTGAAGCCGACGACCACCTTCGATTTGTCGACAATCACGGCACATTGCGCGAATTTGATCATCGGCAGCGAGTTGACGTCGAAGAGCTCTTTGCACGAGAAGGCCGTCTTGTCGGGCAGACGAGACTTTTTCAGCAGGCTTTTCAGCTCCGTCAGCGCCAGCACCCACTTTTTGCATTCCTGAAAATTTTGCATTTTCTTCCTGTACTTCAAAAGCCGGCAAATTCAGCAAAGCCGTTTCAAAACACCTAAAAAGACTCGGAAATCCACTTACATCTTTCGAATCAGCCATGAGCAGAGTGTACTGCTTGGCCTCGTCGCCGGCTTGCGCGCCCTGGATCTGCGACGTGGTCACCTTGAAGATCTTGGGGATGTCGCTCTTGCTGGCGTGGATGACGTCCTGCTCGGAGACGGACTGCACTTGGAAATCTGGGTCGCGCATGTCGAGCACCTACAAGGGATAAGAATTGTTGTTAATTAAAGCTATATTCGTACCTGTCGAACATTCGAGTGGATATCCGAGGGTGTAGATGAGCTGCCTTTCTCCTTGTTGGGGGTGCAATCGAAGAGAAGGAGTTTGAAGTCACAGACGACGACAAATGTCGCCTGCCATCCCTTCTTAACGCCGCCTTGTTTCGGGGTCTTCACCACTCCTTCATACGCTGTCCCAACACCACGAAGAGGGTCGATTCCTGAAAAGGAGAAGCTTAGAAGGCTCAGAAAAATTAGAAACAAGCTAAGAAAAGCCTAACCCCAAGGTTAAAAAATGGTGAGTAAGGTTAGGAAGTTTTAGAGAATCTAAACTACAAATTCTAAGCGTTTACAATTAAAAAAAAAGAGAAAAACTGTTTCAATCTGTATTTTCTAAGTGTGGTCTAATTCTTGCGTGTACGCTCTGAACATTTATCCGGTCCGGAGCCAATTACGAGTAAATCGAATGGGAGAGTGATCAGCAGAATAGTTATATGTGTGACAAATGGATATTATCTCAGGTCAACAAAAACCAAAACAAAAAAGAAATACAGAAAATCGGGGGGAAGGAGAGGTAGAAGCGGTTAAAAATGCATCAATAAAAGTTATTAGGTGAAAAGTAGTGGTAATTCAAAGAAATGGGGGAGGAGGCGGTGTAAAGTGAGTGGATGGTTTTGTGAAATGTTAGCCTCTAGGTAAGCCCCCGGATAATCGATTAGATAGTGTAAAAATAGTATTAAAAACTAGCCCATTGGTCGACGAGCCTCTGGAGGGACTGGGCATTGAGTGGGAGCCCGACTCATACAGTGGACGTGGCATGGGTATTGACAGTTTTGGCAGAAGAGACCTAAAAAAGAATAAGTTACATGATGATATAAATTTACCTTGTCTATCCAATCCGACGAGGATACTCGTGCAATGGCCGCATTTTGTCGGCGTCGCCAAATGGACGTGGGAGAACATGTGGCCACGTCCGCTGAGCGCGGCGTTTAGTTGGGTCTGGGATGCCTGAACAAAATTTATTTTTAGGGCAAGCTAGCATTGATTTTCTGAGAGCTATTAAAACAAACCAAAAAAAGACTCTTTGAGGCAATCTAGCAGTAGTGATACCTTGAGAGCTTACTACACGCACGAAACTTTTTGAGGCAAGCTAGCATTGATTCTTTGAGTGCGCAAAAACGTACCGCCGGGGTTCCGCTGTAGCGATTCATGACGACAGTGCCCGCGCTGGATGTCGGCGTGTGGCGCGTGTTTTCGTAGCAGACTGGTGAATTCCTAAATTCAGAAAAGTTGAAGGTTTTTCTGCAAATTCTTACATGCTCTGGCGCTGTCGATATTCCTCTTCCCTCTTCCTAAGGCTCGAATTCGAGATCTCGTAGTCGGTGCTCTGGGAGAGGCTGATCGAGTCGCGCAGGGAGCCCGAGAATGCCGATCGAGCTGAAAACAGCAATTTTCGTTTAAAGCCAAGAATTACCAGCAGTGCCAACCGGGCTATCCGTCGACACCATATTGAAGAAGCTCTGCTGCATCTCGCCATTTTGCATTGCGGCCAGCGCGGCGCGGAGCTGCTCCTTTTGATGGTGCACCTCTTCGATCTCGCGCTTTTGGATGGCAATCTAAAAATTGGGCTTTTTTTAGATGAGAAAATCGTGCTCACCGTCTCATCCTGCTGCTGGACCTTGGCTTGGAGGCGGAAATTGCAGGCGCGTTGTTTCTTCACCTCTTCCTGGAATGGGGGATATTTTTTTACTCGGTTCGCTAATTTATACCGTCAATTCCTCCTTGGCCCTCAGCTCGGCATGAAGGGCCTTTTGGGCTTCTTGTTGGTTCATGGCTTGCGAGCGCTTGGCGCGCTTCGAGCCCCATGCCGATGAGGGAGTCTGATTCGCGTAGATGTTACCTGAAAAGGGTGATCGATTACGGCGTGAATCTAAGAAGGAGAACCAAGCAATCTAACCTGAAAACGCACTCTTCAAGCTTTTTAAAAACGGCAAAGGAGAAAGGGGCTAAATTCATGCTAGGAATCGTCTTTTTTTCTTCTTAATAAATTCGGCTAATCTGGATATCAACAATTTTCAAACGACAAAGGAAAGGGAAAATTCATGCCAGAAATCGCCTTTTTGCCCTCAAAACATTGAAAAACTTGACCAATATGATCAAAACTTGTCAAGCACATCACAATAATTAAAAATACAAAAAGGGGGAGAAAATGGGGGATAAATTCACACCATGCTCAGACAGGGGATGCCGGGATGTGGGCGTACCATTCGTGGGCTGAAGCTTGAGCGATTCGAGCTCTCCGGTGATACGACTGGCCATCATCTGAATTGCACAATCAATTAGAGACTTGAAAGTACAGAACAAACCTCCATACACTCGCGGGTCGCCTTCTCCTGGTTGATCCAGTTGACGAGCTCCTTGATTTGGGTCTCGTTGAAGGGGCCTCGGGCAGAGATTTGTTGGCTAGAAAAACGGGAGATAAAACTTTGAGGAAGGTAGTTTACATATCGTGCTGAAGCTTGGCGACCTCGGCCCTCAACGACTCGTTCTCGATGCGGAGCTGCTCGCTGTTCTCGCGGAGTGCCTTCTCGGCACGCTCGAATTCCGCCTGAAAAATGTATTATTCACAAACCACAACCTGTAAATTATTTTCCTTATGATCCAATTTTTCTAAAACTAATAAAAGGGTGTTTCTCCGCTGTTTTTACTATTCAAAACCAAACAAGTTTTCCAATTTTTGTCCAAACACCCCAAAAAAATCTACTTTTCAACCAAAATTTGGAAATTTTAAACGTTTCTCGAAGTTTTCTAATTTTCTCGCGCTAATTCCAATTTCGAAATTCATCAAATTAACAAACCCTAGCCTGCTCCTCAGTGGCCTTCTTCCGCTCATCATCCATCTCACGGTGAGTCCGAAGCGCCGTCTCCCGCTCGTCGAGTTGTGATTGCAGATCAGTCATTTGAGTCTGAAAAAAGCATTCTTAATTTTTTCACGGAAAAATTACCTGATACAATTCCTGAAGTTGTTTCCGCTTGATCTCCTCCTGGGCGATGATCTCATTGTGGCGTTCGCTGAGCCGTTCCAGCTCTTCGGCCAGTCGACGCTCCTGCTCGGTGGAACTGTTGCCGCTGGCGGATATTTGGGCCTAGAATAGAGCGGCTTTTAGTGTACAAAGTTGTAAGATTACCTGCAATCCCTCCCTCTGCAATCGCTCGCTTTCCAGCTCTTTCCCAATCGACTCGGCCAATTGCTGCGACTCCTGCTTGGCCACCTCGAGCTTGCGCATCTCCGACTTGACGGCATCGACCTGGACAGAAAAATTAGGAAATTTAAAGGACTGGCACCTTTTGTTGGAGTTGATCAAGGCGAGCCTCCTTCTCCTGGGCTTCACGCTCGAATTTGCGGGCCTTGTTCTTCTCGTCGACGAGCTCATTGCTCAGCTGAAAAGATGGGGGTGGTTAGAGGCACGGTAATGGAATCGTGGGCACCATGAATTTTTTTCTTTACAAACTACTTCCAAAGTTCCGCTGCAAGCTTGCCCTATTCCTAAATGCTCTCTGCTACCTTGGCCTCCCGAAATTTTCACTGCTAGATTGCACCAATCCTGGTTTTTCTGCTAGTATGCTCGCGTCTCCCAAATTTTCTTTCCTAGCCTTTTCCAAGTTATAGATTTTCACTGCAGTTTGCTCTATTCCTCAATTTTCTCTGCTAGATTGCCCTATCCCGAATTTTCTGCTAGCATGCTCGCTTTCGGATTTTTTTGCTAATCTTTTGCGAGTTCCTAAATTTTCACTGCAAACTTGCCCTATTCCTGAATATTGACTGCCCCCCCCCTTTTTTTAGAGTTGCGAAACGTTGATTGTGCAAAATCCAAGACCCAAGAGCACATTTTTGCACAGAAAAAAGAATGCTTAGCCAATTACCTCCTCAAAGTCATGCTTGGCCAGCTCGCGGTGCTTGACAGCTTCCTTCCACTCGGCCGTCTGCGCGCTCAGCTTGTCGTGCACCTCTTCGAAGTCCTAGAGCAGAAAAATAGATCATTAGTGTGGCACAAGATGTGGTCACTCTGCACTGACCACCTTTTTGATTATTATAGTAGCTTTAGAAAATAAAGGGCGGGGACCCAGGGTAGGGAGGGAGGGGAGGAAAGCTCAATCAACACGCCATTTTAGGGGGTTTAAAAGGGGATTAAAACAGCTTAAAAACTCCTGAAAAATACACACAACAACGGCAAATAGAAAAAGTAGAGTAGAAGAAGAACGGGGGAAATGTTCAAAGCACACACAGCACACCACTGTTCCATTTGTGCGCGCGTACGAACATTTCGGCCGGACGATCGGGACAAAACCATTTATTCACATTTATACATAAAAACAGCACTGGACATTCACAGGGGGATACGTACACGACATGTATTTAAAGGGTTTTCGTCTAATTCGAGGTTCGGTGCTTACGTATTATCGGAGGGGGGGGGGCAAATTATTCTGTATTTCGCAGTTCTTATAAGGTCAAAAGAAGAAGAATTTCTACCGTATTTACTGCCCGACAATTTCCAAACGTGGAAACTTTACAAATTCATTAACAACAAAAAAACGAATATCGATTTTCGATAAATTTCCTCAATTTTAAAAGATTCTAACTGTCCTAGTCATTCTTGCACTTAAAAACTAGCTAAATCATATAAAAAATCCATGGAATTTTAGCTATTATTTGATTAGAAATTTCGAGACTTAAAGGACCCCCCCCGATAACGCGAAAGCACCCGCACTTCTGTGGTAACTATCCTATCCCACAAATCTCAACTCCAACATACTACTATCATCATTTGTGTGCACCCTCACCCTGCCCCTAACAAAATCCCAAACACTTTCCACAATATTCTCAGTACGCGACAATACAGTGGACAGCCCGACGTTCTGCACAAACACCGTCAGCCCGATCGCCAAAAGCGCACAAGCCGCTACGGCTTTTTTCAGCTGGCTCAGATTTGCGCGCTTCAGGATGATGGTTTTTCGTGCGGGGCTTGTGGAGCTTGAGCTCAATCTCATTCTCTTTCTACTCCTAGGCGCCGAATCACTGCTACTTTGGGAAAGAGGGCAACGTGCGGCTGCCGCGGCCAATCTTGCCCGATCGGCCCCTAATTGTCTGGGCCGAGATTTGCGGGCTTCAAAGCTCGCGGCCCTTGATAGAGAACGTTTCACTACAACGGGGCTAGAGCTCTTACTGTAGTTTTGAGGGTCTGGGGGCGGGGTTTCTACGGTAGAATATTGTGCTACAGTACTTTGTTGTCTACTCCCTCCCTGTCTCCTCATTTCCCCAGTCATATCCAATTGTATCGGGAAACTGACCCGTTGGAGTTCAGTCTTCTCGAGGATGAGCTGTCGATTCTTCTCCTTCAGTTCTTTCATCTTTCGCTCCAGCTCCTCCTGGCTTGTGTCTTTTTGTGGGCGAAGAGTAGCTGACGATTCTTCCGCCAGTTTCATTTTCAGGATCTAAAAGAGTACTTATAGTATAAAAATACAAAAAATAGTATTAATTAGAGTCTGAGGCGCGCGGAAACCAAAATTTTTCGGCGTTTCTGAAGATCAAAACTTAACAAATATCATGAAAAGTTTATATTTTGCGTCGAAACATCTATTTTCGACCTAAAATGATAAAAATACCTAGATTTTCAAACTTTTCCTACTTCTAAAATAGTTTTAGTAAAAAACCATATAAAACACACAATGCCGGCCCTAGGGAAAAACGCTTTCCCCTGGCGAATAAAAATACTGATTTATTCATTAAAAAAAATACCTGAATCTCGTCTCTGAGCTGTGCAATTGTTTGTTCATAAGAATCGACGAGATGCTTCTCCCTATCGGCAAAACTATCAGGGTGGTCGACGCTGAGAGTGGCCATAGCTTGGGTGGCTTCTTGCAGTTTCTTCGTCAGCTCGGCCCGGTCGAGCTCGATCTGTTCGAGACGACGTTCGTATGCTTCCAGGGCCGGCGTTTTGTTCTCACTGCCTCCAATTACGGAGCTCAAGCTCGCGCTGTCCGATAGAAGACTAAAATAGAGACATTTTTGAGGTCTATACAAAATAGCGATACCTTCCGTGGGAGTAGGTGAACCCAATAAACGGAAGATGATGCCCAGTGAAGGCTGCCGTCACATTTGGGGGACGCGTTTCCTAAAATTGCTTTTAAAATGATCAAGCCATTACATACCCCTTGAGAAAAATCGTCCTCGCAGAGCTCGGGGTCAAAATTGGACGTGTCTGTGGGGCTGGAGACTTCCGGTTTGTATGGAGGGTCGGCTAAAAACAATAGAATAGATTTTTAAACGTATACTCACAATTTCTGATGCTATCCCAGCTGATTCCCTTGAAGAAGGGGTGATCTTTGAAGTCGCTGAAGCCATCTCGGCCGAGACGCACCTAAAAAGGGCAAATTATATAATTTTAAAAATGCTCGTACGTCTCGCGGGCAGATGAGCTTCTGTATCAAATCCTTGGCATCTTCCGACACGACCCAGTCGATGTCACTGTCCGGAAAGTCGAGCATTTCCTGGAAAATTTCGATAAAATGTAATTTCAAGCATTACCTGATGGCTCATAATCTTTCCATAGGTATCGATGAGGCGTTCAGAGTAGAATGGCGTATTCCCGTACAGCATTTCGTACATGCAAATGCCGAGACTCCACCAATCACACTCTTTTCCGTACTGCCCACGTCCGTCTTCCATCGCCCTAAAATTAAGCGTAAAAAGGTGGAATAAGATTACTAACCGTAGAATTTCAGGTGAAATATAGTCGGGGGTGCCGACGGCCACATTCGAGGCGACAGAACCATCGGGGAGGAGACGGAGGCAGGACCCGAAATCGGCCAACCGGATGTGGCCATGGATGTCGAGAAGTACGTTGTCTGGCTTGACGTCCCTGAAAATGCAAAAATTACGGTCTGTTTCAACGCAAAAAAAATTTGATAAATGGTATTAACAAATCTCAAAAATCGATTTTAGGACCAAGTTTCAAATCTTTAAAAATTTTTCCTTGTTTTCTCAATAGTTTCCCCGATAGAAATATAGAAAATCTTACTAAAAGGACGATTAAAAACTAGTTATAAAATGAAATCTGCGAATCTCCGGACTTGTAGAACAAAATTCGGGCGAAAAAAGCTTTACCTGTGCACATATCCCAGGCGATGCACCGAGTCGATGGCCAACACCATTTCGGCCATATAAAACCGGGCCATCTCCTCGGGGATGTGGTCGTCGAATTTGGAAAGCAGCGTCAGCATGTCGCCACCAACATAATAGTCCATCACCAGGTACTAAAAATACATTTTTTCGTTCAAGCTCTAAAACCCTACCAAATTGCTCTCATCCTGGAAGGCAAAGTGGAGGTTGGTGATCCAGCGTCTGTCGCCGAACACCAGCACGTCGCGTTCCTCGCGGAAACAGGCCGTCTCGGCGCGTCGAAGCATTTCCCACTTGTTCAGGATCTTCATAGCATAGATCTGCAAATGTAGTTTTAGCTAGCTTGGCTGTAGCTTTTATCAAAAAATCGTTGAGATTTTCACGTTTTTAGACTACAAACTACAAAAATTTCGATGCCAAAAACCGTTTTCCGCATTTTTGTCAGTTTTTTCATTTCATTTCCAACTAGTTTTTAATCAAAATAAAAACTCACTTCTCCGACATGCCTCATCCGAACGACGGCCACTTCTCCGAAGGCTCCTTTCCCGATCACCTTCAGCACTTCAAAATCGTCCTTGCTGAGTCGAAGGGCTTTCGCCTGGGTCACCACCGGGTTTACTAAAAAGAAAATTATAAATTAATCTACAAATACAATACAAACCATTTGTCTCAGTGTTATTACAGTGATCCGCTTCAATATCGATACAAATTCTCATTTTTCTGGGGAATAAGTTAATTTCCAGTCTGAATGTCCGGAATGCAGAGGTCAAAAAAGAGGGCTCAATGCCCTGATGATGGTCGGGTAGAGGGGGGGGGGGCTCCGCTTCCGCCGTTGCTGCTACCTCGCTCCGTAAATCGGCTTTTCTCTCAAGGGGAAGCGACTAGGGCCACAGCAAGAAGATCGGAAGGAACAGTGCAAATACGCCTTCTCCTTTGCGTCAACGCACCAAAATAGCGGGGGGGCAGACGTGAGCATACGAAAAGTAAGGGGGTGGAATTTAATGAGGAATTTATCGCGTCACCTATTCGCCCCCGCGCGATTTACTCGAGTTAGTTCTTTCAAGGAGGAATTTTAAACGGTAAAACACACCAGAATCGACAAATTCGCTGACGGTCTTCTCGCGACGCAGCGTGCTGCCCTGGCACTCATCGTAGAGGCAGATGAGCGAGTCGAGAAGAGCCTCGAATGAGAGGGCATCGCCTGAAAAGGGAAATTATTAGTTTTCGAATGGTTTGGCGCGAACCTTTGCTGGGTCCCTCTAGGTAGATCTTCTCAAGCAGTCGTTGTCGAACCACGGCGTCTTCTCCGATTGCTGCATCACCCATCTGGAAGCAAATCTGATAATTAGGGCTCGAAAAACGCGGAAATTACTGGAGAAAAGGAAGACAGCCAGAAAAGAACACAAAACACTTGAGTAGAGGTTAAAAAAACGCAGGACCTCGTTATTGGCGTTTTAGAAGCAGAAACGGCTCAATTTTTACGTTTTTAATAGAAAAACATTGGTGGACCCATCAAGGAACCTTATAAAAGTCCGGAAACCTCAGAGCTATGCGAAAAATGTCGTTTGATATTGATATCGACGTTTTAGAAGCTGAAAAAGCTGCCTTTTAGGTTTTGCAACGAAAGAATTCCAAAATCCATAAAAAACAACAGATAAATATCCGGAAACCGGCAAAGATATGCGAAAAATGTAGCTTATTTTCGTTAGAAAAATCGGAAACGGGCGATGTGGTGTTGAGGGGGGATGAGATGAGATGACGCCCCCAGGTCACAGCAACAGCCCTCCCACATATAATGATCAATATCTTGACGAAAATCGGGCAACAGCCCGAAACGAACGAATCGAGGAAAAGAAGGAAAAGAGGGACCGATGAGGGGTGGAAGCAAAGGAACGAAGGAACAGCCACAACAAGAGAAAGCCACCGCCAAAATTGGGATTGCGAAATGCGAGTTGAAAACTAGTTATTGTTAGTCGTTGGATTTGGACTTGAAAAACAGCAAAAATGTCACGATTCGAACAAAATGATTCTAACGACAAAGAACCGGCGATTCAGCTTTAACATGTTGATCGGCTCTAAAAATCGCTGAAAATAAGGAGAAAGCCCGGGGAGTTCGATGGAAAAACATATCAAGGCAAATATTTACCGGCGGAAATAGGTGTTAAAAACCTTCAAAAGCCGCCCTACTTAACAAAAAAATGCCTTGAAAATTCATGTTTTCAAATCCTAGGCTAAAACAGGCCGATCAACGCTCCACGCGAATTTGAAAAGGTCAAGAAAACCCTTTATTTAACGACAAATTCAAGTTTAAAAGTAGGTTTTCATTTAAAAACGTCCTTACTACCTTAAATATACATACTGCTAAAATGGAGAATCACAGATCCTAGGCCAAAAAAAGGTCGCCCGAAGCCTTAAAAGAATCTGAAATGGCCAAATTCGTTTCCAGTTGCTCAACTAAGCCACGAATAAAAAAAAGGTTAGTGAAATGGTTGGTGTCCATTTAGCCGGTTGGTGTGAGATCAATAAAAGAGGGAGGGACGGGGAGAAGAGGAGGAAGAGGAGGCAAGGGTCATTCCAGCCACAACGGCTAGTGGCTAGGGGAAGGGAACGAAAGAAGAAGAAGAACAATCTCTCTGACCACACAAATATCTCTCTACCCTCCACTATTCTCTCGCTATTTCTCGTATTCACATACCCTGACCCTCCACCATCAACCATCTACATACACGAGCAGACAGACGGACCGATGGATGGACAGACAGACATCCCTTCTTCTAGTAGTCTACACTACTATTGGCTTCTAGTGGATAGACAGACAAACCCACATACTTACTATTCATATTCTTGACCGGCTTGCCCGTTTCCTGCTTTCCCCTCGAGATCTAGGGGTTCAAGAGGGCTTTTTCAGGGAAATGGGGTCAAAAAGGTGGCGTGGAATTGTTCGCGATCTTCAGGAAAATAAGTATGGAACGGCCTAAAATCTTATTAAAAACGCTAGAGGCGATTTTGGACATAAAGACTAACCCCTGACTCTCGCAAAGATAATAAGAAAAACCAAAACAAGCTCCCGGGCTGGTTACTTTAAAAAGTAGCTAAAATAGGACTAAATAACCAATTTTACAAAAACAAAATCAGGGCGCGGCCCGCCGTCGCACCCTTTTTTATCAAAAAATGACTAATACGCCGACATTTAGACTTAGGCTTGAAACGCCAAATAGCAACTATAAGCTAAAAGCTTGATTAGGGGCGAGCTAGCAGAGATCCTTTACGACATGCCGACTGATCAATAGAAATCGTTTCCAGCTGTTGCCAACATTGCCCTCCGGCTTTGCCCGCGTTGAAAATGGCATTTCGGGCTTATCAGTGCGTGGAGCCGGTAGTGAATGAGGGGGAAGAGGGGGAGAAGGAGAAGCAGATCTGGACGGCGCCGAGATCGGGTTGAAAATCGTGGGAATTGGATAGCAAAAAAAAAGAAAAGTTGAAAAATAAGAAAAAGTTGCAGTGGGATGTGGACGTAGATGAATGGAGGGGAGGAGATGTCGTAAAATGACTCAGCTGGCCACATGTCTGCCGGCACAGAGGGTTTTGCGGGAGAAGCAGCAGGAAAAGAAGAAGAAGGGGCAGTGTGAAAATACGGCCAAATTGTAACGGGTTGTGAAAGGAGGGGAGGAAAAGCCGAAGGGTTAGGGGATGAAGCGGAAAAGGCCCGAAAGTTATCGCAGAGTTGTAGAGGAGTGTATAGAGGGGAGTGTTGGTTGGAATGATCAGAAAGACAGACAGACAGACAGACAGTCGAATTACGGGCAAACAAACAATCAGTAAAAGGAGGGGGAAGACCAAACACGCACAACGAGACCCTAACAGATACACACGACCACTACTAGTGTTGAGGAATTGGGGGTGGTATTTAAATGATACGTTACAAAATAATTAGAGCGAGCTAGCAGAGATCTTTTAGGACATGAACGCTCTTATGACTGTGACTATAGCTTGTTGCCGGTATGATCGGGGGCGCAAGAGACGTATTTGTGTGGGCTCTTGACACGGGCTTCTGTATGCATCGTCCCGTTTGGCCAGAGAGAGGGGGATCCATCTCTCTCAAATAGCTCGAGGCTATTTGAGACTAATGCGGGCCAAGCACGCCCTCTAGCCATAGTCAAATCCTTTCAGGGACTTGTTGCGTAGTTTTGAAGCCGGTTAAATATTTTCTAGAAATATGGGAGAAGCCGAAAAACCCCGAAAACCGGTAAGCCTAAAGCCTAAAAGAAAGCCTGAAAACTCGATAAACTGTCAGGAGTAACCGGAAATCTATCACTATAGGAGAAGCTGTAGATTTCTAAAAACCTTGAGAAAAAGCCCGCAACCTCGAAAATTGTAGAAGAGCGCAACCTGTAAGAACCATAGAAAAAGCCCGAAACCTCAAAAAAAATGTGGGAAGCCAGAAACCTCAAAAAAGCCGTGAAGCCCGAAACTATAAAAGAAGGCGGAAACCTCGAAAACCTCTCAGGATAAACCCGCTACGCAAAGACTTCAGAAATTAAAAATAATCTAGAAAACCCGAAAACACATACTTCTAAAGCCAAAAGCCGCAAACAACTCTAAAACCACGAAAATAGTGTAGCAAGTGAGTAAAAAGTGCGCGTGTAGCCGGTACGACCCCCGATCGAGGCGAAAACGGACACGTGTGGCCAGTACTGGCGTTAGGAAATACTCGGGCCCGAATCGGCAAAACGGTATACGGTAGCGTTTTCACGTTTTAGCCAGCAACCTTTTGGACTGTATAAAAAAAGCTTGACTATTCTTCAGCAAGTTACAGTTTTTCAAAATAAAAGTGCATCTTATTGAAGAAAAAAGAGTTAGTTCTATGCTGGCAGCACAGAAAGGTACGCGTCCACGCTGGTTTTGGAATTTTTCTACATACCTTACCCAATTTACTGTAGACAAAGCTTTAAACTATGTTAAGAAAGTTAAGAATGTTAAGAAATAAAAATCCGGAAGCAAACACAAAAACTAGCATAAACTAAAACTAAAACCAAACTAAACTCCAAAATAGAAAAGCCTTGATAGAAAAATAGGAAAGCCTCCGGAATGCGTGCCTGTCTGTGCTGCCGGCGTCCAAATCAGTTTTTTTCAATAAAATTCTTTTTCTTCTTTTTTTTTACCCTTTCTTTATTCACTTTTATTGTGAAAGCTGTAAAATATTGAAGACGAGGAGAAGGCGAATAAAATTTTGATACGGTCGGTTGCTTGCTAAAACGTGGATCCGCTACCGTATACCGTTTTGCCGATTCGGGCCCGAGTATTTCCTAACGCCAGTGTGGCCAGTGAGCAAATGTGGCCTCGGGGCCACACGTTCTTACACACTACACCCCCCGGCCACATCACAGACTGAAGCTCGTTTGTAAAAGTACGAGCGGGGAGGGCAACGGGGGGCTGTGGTCAGCTAAAGAACAACTCGCCGAGGTCATTAGGGAAATTGGGGAAAGCCGGCTAGCAGAGATTCCTAGGGAACGGGGTTAGTCTGCTCTCAATTAGCACACAAAAACTGGGAAATTATCAGAAGGCTAGGGCCAAAAAACCAGTCGACAATGGCGGGTCGCTGCATGACACGGAATCGGCTTAAAAATCGCTGAATTCATAAGTGATTGTGGGGAAGAGAGTGGAGGGGAAGGGGAGCGAGCAGAGATTGCGAAGGAATTTCGGGGGCAAACAAATATGAAAACGGGCAGGGGATCATATCAATGAGTCAACATGATGAAAGCAGGCAGAAGGAGAAGAAGAAGGAGAAGAATACGGGTTATTAGCTCTTGCAAGACTAGAATCCTCAAGGGTCGGAATTCATAAAGAAAGCAAATTTAGAGGTTTCATGCATGGGTTAAAAGTGAGAAACTGAAATAAAGATTAGTGAATTAGTATTTTAAAAGCGACTTAACACCAATTTACGTCTCATTATGTTACGCTTGATTTTTTTACGTTCTTAACTCTTCGAAGGCTAGCATCGCGAAAGGGGCATATTAATAAAAAAAAGAAGAACGACATGCTTAGAAGTGAGCAAAAAGTAAAAATTAATAAAATTACGATTAAAACCTTCTCACCTCGATTTTTTACCCAAAAAATCGGAATCGCCGCGTCGGTTGTGAGGTTGCTCAATAATCCTTGAGCTCGAAGGGCATAGGGGTGGAAGACACGTCGTTGTCCAGACAAAACGGAGCGGTTTCGCCTGAAAAAAGTCCAGGATTTTCTTGAAAACCTCGATGCAAGAAATGGAAATAGAGAGCAAAACGATCAATACACACAAAAAGAAAGGCGGAATTCAGGCTGTGATCGGGATGCCATCTGAAATCCACCAGCAATATCTGTTTGCCAGGCGGTTTTCGAAGGATGGAATACTCGAAGGGGGAGGGTGAGAAACGTTCCGGATAAAATGATCGAGTAGGTGAGAGCAGAGAGTGAATTAAGCGGTTCTTTTTAATTTCCAGAGCAGAAAAAAACTTTTACAACTATTCCATTGTCAAAAAGGACGTGTTAACACTACAGGGTGTCCCAAACCCCCCTCTAGCGGCGCCCAGACGTGTCCGATTCTCGCCGTTTAGGTAGCTATCGAAAGCTCTCGAAAAGGCGAGAAAACATGGAGGGTTCATTTTCTTTATTATGTATTTTTATTGGCGAATTTTACCTCCAAAATCCATGAAAACGGCTGATTTACGCGAGATCCGCATGCTAATTGCGAAATTTCTATTGAAAAGATACCTGTTTTTTTAGAAAAACACTGAATATCGGACGAATCAGAATAAATCTTAGAAAATGAAGCCCGCTTGTTTTCTCGCCTTTTCGCGGGCGTTCGAATGGTATAAAAATCATCCTGATCCGAGCTTCCCACGGACCGCTAGAGGGGGGGGGGGTTTGGGACACCCTGTATATGACTCTCTCTCTTTCTCTAGAGGTAAAATTGTTCAAATTTCGATTGCAAAGCACTGAAAATGCCGTTTTGACATTCTTGAGAAATTTCAAGTTTCGAGAGGCAATTGAGACACTATTTCCATTACAAACCAGCTATTTTTTTACTAAACATACTATTTAAATTGTAGAAAAATGTAGAAGGAAAATTAAATTTGTAGAAAACGTTCGCCCCCCCCCCCTACCCCCCGGGAATTACTGACGATCCGATTAAGTAGATGGTTATAGATGTAAAATGTAACCTGAAAATCTCAAAATATCTAAAGCCAAACCGTTCAATCGATAAAGAATCCGGCGACAGTGTCGTTCGGATCTTCTGGAGGGCGTGGTTCTTCTTCTTGTCTGTCTGTCTGTCTCTCTCTAGTCTGCCAGTCTCCACCATCATCGACATCATGATGTTAGGCACCTCTAACCGGGGGCAGGTGCTGTCATCTGGCGGCAAGCATCAAGGCAAACAGTCAAAAGCACCACCCTCTTAACCCTCCGCCACACACCTCCCAACACTTCTCTCAACATAACCACACAGTTACTGGATCGCCAATTCAAGACGGTCACACTTAGCAACCCCGGTGAGAGGGCAGGCTGGCAGAGGGCGTTTGGGAATTGTCATTCTCTACCAATCCTTCGAAGATCTGTTAGCTAGCTTCCTTCAAAGGTCCTTTAAAACGTAAAACCGGTCCCGAACCATACTGGCGAAAACGCAAACAAATATTCTAAAATTTGGTAAAAAGCGGTTTCCGGACTCACGAACATATTTCGACTTTCGGAGGTCACCCATAGAATTCGGCCATATCGATAGGCTTAGGCTTAGGCTTAGGCTTAGGCTTAGGCTTAGGCTTAGGCTTAGGCTTAGGCTTAGGCTTAGGCTTAGGCTTAGGCTTAGGCTAGGCTTAGGCTTAGGCTTAGGCTTAGGCTTAGGCTTAGGCCTAGGCTTAGGCTAGGCTTAGGCTAGGCTAGGCTTAGGCTTAGGCTTAGGCTTAGGCTTAGGCTTAGGCTTAGGCTTAGGCTTAGGCTTAGGCTTAGGCTTAGGCTTAGGCTTAGGCTTAGGCTTAGGCTTAGGCTTAGGCTTAGGCTTAGGCTTAGGCTTAGGCTTGTAAATCGGGGTATTTTCGAGTTCCTATCCGCCCTGACAGTGGGCCAGGTGGGGGGCGAGTGGGTGGGAACCAAAAGTTCGCTCGCTTGCCGGTCGAATTCTTGTAACCCGGTTTTGAAGAAGCTAGCTTCCCCCTAGTTTATTTTAGGGTTTGGCTTGATGAGTTTGCGGGCGGTGGCTTGAAAGAAGAGAGAGAAAGAGAGGTCTCTTTTGAGAGGCCGTGTCCGGATGTGTGATTACAGATCTCATGTTTCTCCGGCAGCCTTTGGGCGGCTTGAGAGTTGCGCGCGCCGGTTTTTCACAAAAACCGGAAGGGGATCCAGAAATTTTGCGGGACACCGTGGTAATTTAGAGGAAACTGTTTTTGTCTATCTTTTAACGCAGTGTCATTTGAGAACGTTGCTTGTGAGTTTCTTTTGCATTATCGGGGGGACCAACTTTTTTTTCTAGGATCTAATTTCTCAAAATTGTGGAGATGTTTCTAAATGGTTTTTTACAAGCCCTAGAAGTCAAAAATTTACAAATTTCTATTACAAAAATGTTAAAAAGATAGACTTGTCGACCAAAAAAGGCCGATTTAGACCAAAATTTCGGTTTTTCCAATATTCTTTAAAATTTTTAGATAGTTTTTCTAGTTTAAAGATAGTTAGAAATTCCTATGAACAGAAATAAAACACTTGCCATTACCTTACAAGGAATTTCTAGACTTCTAGAAAAAAAACTTCGCCCCCCGATAATGCGAAAGAACCCATTAAAAAGATTGAGGCGCTGCTTATTCTAGTCTGCTTTTTTGGAGCGGGCATCATATTGTAATTCTAGCCGTGTTTTTTGGAGTGGGTATCAGCTGGTGATTGAGTATCTACAGCTTCTCCCAGGTCATGCGCTTCTGAAATTACAGCCATTTCGTGTTCAATCGCACGTGATTCGTCATAGACCCTTTTGTCTGTCTGCCATTCTCTGTCATTTGACGTCTGTCTGTCTATCTGTCTAGCTCTTCCTCTCCCCTTTTTCCTCAAGGGCTTATCTAAAGCTAGTGAAGCCCAAGTCTGGTCTATCCCCCGTTGTTTGTTCTCACTTATCTATCCACCCCTAAAATCCCAAAATGGAAGCACCGAGTGCTATAAAAGAAAGTAGATCGCTTCTAGACCATGATTGGCCCTCATGAAATTCTTCCTATTTTTCGCGGCACTTTGTTGGGGTTTCCGGTTGGGTGGGGCCGATTATGTGCGGGCTTGCTATTTTACAAACTGGGCAAAGTATAGGTAATACCTTAGAGCAATGTATCTAGTGGTTTAAATGGAAATCTAATGAAAAAGCGAATGTTTTAGACAAGGGTGCGCGACGTACAATGTGACGCGAGACTACATTCCCGGGCTATGTACGCATATTTTGTTCGCATTCGGGTGGATGGACAGCACTTTTCATGCGAAGTGAGTGGAACAGCTGGAAAAACTACGACATTACGCTAATTACGAAATTCTGGGTACCGGGCTATTAGCGGGGGGATCAAGCTTAGGTGCCGGCCAATAAGAAACAACCTCAAAAAATCACAACATTTTTGGAAAATTTAAAAATTGTGAAGTTTTTAGAAGAAAGACTGCCCCCCCGGTTAACAGCATAGTACCGAAATCCCCTTCAGAAACTACGACGACACAGATATTGCAACCTCCTGGGCAGGTGCCGGCCAATATTCAATGGTCAACGGCCTAAAAACAACCGATAAAAGCCTCAAAACCCTTCTTTCCTTCGGCGGCGCCAGCTTTCCACAATCACTAATGCAGGTTCCGACCCTGAATCTACCCTGAACTACAAAATACAGCAAATGACGGCCACATCCTCAACCCGTTCAACATTCATCCAATCGGCCATTGCCTGGGTGCGACAATATGGGTTTGATGGGATTGATATCGATTGGGAATACCCGACAACATCAGATAAAGCCAATTACGCGGCGTTCGTCACGGTAAGCGCAAGGGAGCACAATAGCGGTTTTCCCAGTATTGGACTTTTGGGGGAGGGTTCGAAATCGTTTTTTTAGCTTTTTAGCATTCAAAATTTCCAAAAAACCCGAATATACACACCACAGAAGCGTAACAAATTTGTTTTAGTTAGCCCCCCCCCCCCCGTTAACCGTCCAGTACCGTTATCACCTAGGAACTTCGAGCAGCCGCCGAAGCGGAGAGTGGGCAAAGTGGAAAGGCCAGATTGCTCGTGACAGCCGCCGTGGCAGCTGGATCCTCGAATTTCGCGGGTTATGATGTGGCGGCGATGGCCAAGTGAGGGTCTAATTGATTACGAGATGATATGGCTCTTGCGCATTATCGGGGGGAAAGGCTTCAACTTTTTTCTTAGGATCCCATTTTCAAATTAAATTAGTGGCACTTTTTTAAAAATGGTGATTACTATCCCTAAAGGTGAAAACTTTACAAATTTTTTTTAAATATCAAATTATCGATTTTTCCACCAATGAAAGGTCGATTTTCGACCAAAATTTAGAATTTTTCAACATAAAAGTTTTTCGATAGTTTTCCTAATTTAAACATAGTTATATATTACGAAAAACACGACTAAACCACTTGCTATTAAGTATTCTATAAATTCTAGAATTCTAGAATAATACAAAAAAGTTCGGTCATCTTCCCCCCCCGATAATACGAAAGCACCAATGATAATGTCAGGGCGTACGACTACATCTTCTTGATGAGCTACGATTTCTGGGGGGCTTGGTCGAGTATTTTGGGGATGAACGCGCCACTTTATGCGCAGAGTGGCCAAACCGCGCCCAGCAATCAGTACAATGTGGTCGGTTGAAAACTTAAAGCTATTAAAACATGCAAAAAAACTACACAAAAACCCTATAACTTTTAGGATTGGGCGACAAATGCCTGGGTGCAAATGGGGGTGCCGAAAAATCAGCTGGTCATCGGAATGCCGGCTTATGGTAGAGGATGGACATTGGGGGTAAGAGGAGGCAATCAGACGCTAAACTTCCTTACTATATTTTCTATAGAATGCGGCAAATATCCAGCCGGGAGCTACCGGAAATACCCCAGCACCATCGGGGCCATATACACAGGAGTCTGGGATACGAGCATATTATGAGGTATGAAAATCCTACTATATATAAAAAAATAGTGTCTGTGTGTGTGTGTGCATTTGCATGCAACTTCCGTAAGTATGTACCGCACCTACAGCCTCAGGGGAAGGTTTTGAAGGTACGTATGATACGTCATTAGGTGCGTAATGGTCCCGAGATGGGTGCACACATATAAAATTTAAGAAAATCGGCTGTTTTCGCTATTAAAATTAAGTTTTTGTAAATATATCGAAAAACCTCTTTGTTAGGAGGCAATTTGCATTGACCGGAAGTGGCCGTAGCCTATAAAAATGGAGGGAGCGTGCGCTTTTCATTTTTTGGTGAGCGGCATTCGGCAAGCCCTATGTAAAGTCAAATTTTCAGAAGTCCTAGACGGGTCCAGGGTTGAAAAGCCGCGAAGCGGTTTTTCAACCCTGGTGATACCTTAAATCTTGATTTTTCGCGGTTACGTTAAGCCCGGGGGCTTGCTTTTTGCTAACGTAAATACATAATAGGAAGTTATTGTGAACTGTTAATATTCCTAAACGACGGAAAAAAAGTAAAAAGTGACTAAACTACAGGGTGTCGCAATAAAAAAGGTCACGCTGGCATTTTGCTATTTCAAATCCGACCGACTTGAAATTTTGCACAGAGGTGCGGAAGGGAATTTAAAATGTTCACAGAAACTTTTAGCCCGATCGGTACAGTAGTTTTCGAGTTATAGTAAAAATAAACTTTATTTTACGTTTTTAACCTGGATTCCGCCGGAATTGAGCCCTGGAATGTATGGAGAAAATGAAGCGCCGACCCTTTTTTATCCTAGGAATTTTTTTATTTCGCAAAATTCGGGTCGAAAATAGGCTATTTAAGTATTTTTTAACAAGGGCTAACGACGCCAATGTTAAGAAGAATAAGGGATTTAGAGCCGGAAATTTATGTTAATTGATGCAAAGTCCAAAAAGAGAGCCGAAAAAATGAAGCGAAAGTGTGGGAAAAACAGTATTTTTGCTATAACTCGAAAACTACTGTACCGATCGGGCTGAAAGTTTCTGTGAACATTTTAAATTCCCTTCCGCACCTCTGTGCAAAATTTCAAGTCGGTCGGATTTGAAATAGCAAAATGCCAGCGTGACCTTTTTTATTGGGACACCCTGTATAGAAAAAGTATCGATTTTGATACCAAGATTTCCCACTTTTTTTACACATTTTCTTAAATGTTCTAAGTAGTCTTCTAGTATGGAACAATTTAAACCATGGTAAACAGCGAAATCCTACTACTAAAGACCCAATTACAACACTTGTCAGTACGATACTAGGCAAAGCTCGGCTTACGGCAAAAAAAATTGAGTCCCGTGAAACAAATACGATACAAACTAAATATAGTTTATAGCCCCTTTAAAATCCTATAAACCACCTACATTTTAGCTGTGCACCTTCCTAACAACATCCGGAACGACGCGCTATTGGCAATCGGATCAGGAAGTGCCCTATCTGGTGGCATCTGGCCAATGGTGGTCCTATGATGATATCGAATCTTATAATGACAAGGTGGGTCCACCCTTATTACATTAAAAAACCTCTGAATTTAGCTCGACTACATCAAAAAGGGTGGCTACGGCGGTGCGATGGTTTGGGCGCTGGATATGGACGATTTCAACGCGGGCTGCCCACAATCCAACGGTCTCTACTATCCGTTGATTGGGACGATTGCGAAGAGTTTGGGCGGGATTATTATTCCGGTAAGTTTAAAACAGGAGTAGTGCACCTAGTCTACCCCGCCAGATGACGCGCTTTTGCATATCTACTCCCTGTAAAGTATGCAAAAATGCTCGCCATGGTCTACTTAATAACGATTAATAACGAAAAATCAAAGTTTTGGGGCAAAAAAGTCAGAAACCTTCGCTGGAGGATCTATAATTTAGTCAGAAAACGCTCCCAGAATACGCCTAATTTAACCCGAAACAAGGGCAATAAAAATGATCTAGGGTCATAACGGCACCTCAACACAACCCACAAATCGACCCACCAATCCTGCGACAACCCAGAAAAGTGGAACAACGAGGACGACGACCACGACGAAGGGAGTGACGACAACAACGACACCGACCAAGGGCAAGTACCTGAAAATTCAAATGCTCTAAACGAAGATGAAAATAGCAGAATAGGGAAGTGCGAAATTACGACAAGTCAAAGTCCAATTTGCAGGCTTCTCCTGCGTGGGCAAAGCAGACGGCTTATACTCGGACCCGGCCGACTGTTCCTCGTACTATTGGTGTCTCTCCAATGTCCCATTCCATTATACATGTCCGCAAGGGCTCCTCTTCAACCAAATGAACAATCAATGCGATTGGCCGGCAAATGTCAACTGTCCAAACAGCTTCTAATCCCTCCCAACACTTGTAAATACCGCTGTACCCAGGCTTCACGATAAATGACGTGCAATAGCGCTCAAATAATACTTCTAGCACTTTACAGCCACATATGCAGTAAATAGATTTATCATCAAGTGAAACGTGCAAATTTGAACACCCAAAAAGCAAAAAAAAAACCCCATGAAATCACAGAAAACGAAGAGAATCACAGTACACACAGAAAGCGATGAGGGCGATTTGAGGCTTATTGGACGAGGGGCCCAGCGACCTTCTGACCTGCCAGCTTCTCGAGACCCTCGCCAGAATACGAACGGGCCGCCGCCACGAAGATCTGAAAAGGAAATAATAATAAAAACTTTTGAAAGCCGGAAATCTACTAAAAATAAGTGTACCTTGTCAATGGAATCCACTTCCGCACCGGCAGCTTCAAGCCACCGTCGCGATTGGGCGGCCAGATCGCGGACGCACGTCGACAGACAGTCCTTCCCCGTCGACTCGGCATTCTTGAGCGGCGAGAACTCGTCTTCGCGCACCGCCTCCCAAGCATAGAAATTGCTAAAAAGCTAATAAAAAAAGTAAAAAAATACATACCTGCTGAGGGGGAAGACGTCAAAGATGAACTGCTCGAGCTTGATGCCATTCGGTTCTTTCGGGGTGACGAGGTGGCCGTTTTGGTCGAAGTGGGCAATCTTCTTGAGGGCGCGATGGTATGGCAGATGGAAGTCGGCCGTGCAGAAACTGACAAAACTTATCGAAAGAAAGAAAAAAATACCTTTCAAGGAAGTCCATCGTGAAAAAGTGGATGGCGATGCTGCCGGCACGATAGAGGAGCTTCCCATCAGGTCCAGTCTTCGATTCAAGATTGCCCAACTCGGAATATTCGGTCACGCGGGGCTGAAAAAAACAATGTTAGACAGCTGACACCGATTAGTGATTAAGTAGAGGTTAAAGCTAGAAGCAAATGACAAGTTTCGAATATTAATCAGTACCCTGCAACCCGGATAAAAGCGTCACTCGTATCAGTATCTCAAAAAAGAAAGCCGGCTAGTTTCCGCGTCGAAAAGCGTTCCCTTCCGAACTCACGGATCTCAAATCCATATACGAATATACCCGGACCTTCACGGAACAAGAGAATGACTGTGAAAGACAATTGATACCTTTCCGTCCTCGATGGTGATACTTCCGATCAATTCGCCGGGAATCTTCTCCAACGTCTTGGCGGCACAGTCGGCTTTCTAAACAAAAAATAAAGATAAATAAAGTAAAATAGCGATACCTTGTCAATTACCATTCCCAGCATTGTTGGATCACCGACGCGGCAGAGAATGTTGTCGACACAATAAGTCTGAAGGTACTTGACGCCGCGTTGGCGCAGCTTGGGCAGATGATGAGAGAGCGCCGAGTAGATGCCTCCATTGCCATTTGGTGCTGTGCAGACTTCGCCCTTCTTCGAAAGCAGCAGGCTGCCATCCATCGAGAAGGCAGGGATGTTGGCCTGGCTGAACACGGTTACCTAAAATAACAATAAAAAAACAAAGTCTCAAACACGCACGTCATCAATGGAGAGACCGTTAGCGGGGACTATCTTCTCCAAATGCTTCAGAGTGGCCTCCTTCGTACCAGCAGATGTCATCACGGCCCATTGGATCTTGCCGTGCGTGCCCGGGAACGTGCGGCTTGCCAAGTCTTGTAGACAACGAATCTTGGCCGCCTAAAGAATCGAAAAAAAGAAATAGAAAACTCGCACCTGAATCGAAAGGAGACTGTCCCCTTGCGCGACGGAACCCTCGGGAAAAGCCAATCCGAGCGGGATTGTGCCCTTCGGTTCAGCGCTGCCAAGGCGAGATGCCTGACCACCAGCCAGCACCAACACGCACAGCTCGTTACGAGAAATGGCCTCCAGGCCCAGCTTCGTCAGCCTAAAATGATGGATGAAAAACAAATCAGAAAAACAAACCGTTCACGCTCCTCGGAGGGCAGCTTGCTGGAGACGATGTAGCGATCGGCGGGCACTGGCTTCACATTGTCGAGGTTGGGCACGTGGATGTTCGCAGAGGTGGTGAAGGCTTCTTGGCACTGCGCGACGTCGATCTCGGCAATCTGTGCGGCCAGGGCTTCGCGTTGCGGCTGCTCCAGCTCATCCCAGAAGCGCAGGAGATGGGCTTCATCTCCGAGACGCTTCTCAAGTTCGGCACGATCCGGCTGCATATTCGCCCTGAAAAACAAAGGTTAATTTAGGAACGAAGAAGAAAACGGAAGAGAAGAAAGAAGTTCATGAGAATTGAATAGCAAAGCCGAAAATGCGAAAGTATTTGAAGAGTGAAAATGACCTTGTGGTCTCGCAACGCTGCTACGATACTCCGAAAGGGCACTGGATAGAACGCCAAGTGAAGAGCCGTGTGTTTTGGTGGGAGTCGAAACACAATGTTGCGTTTTATAGGAAAAAAAAGAGTCGTGTTCGTCGACTCAGATGTTCGACAACGGTGCACCGGAACGGCCAGCCATGCTACAGCAACAATTTATCAAAAGGGAGCGAACAGCGCGGTAAACGGCCATGGGCGATTGATAAGATAGGATGGAACGCAGGCGGGGCCAGTAGACCAAGGTTTTATTTTCATTTCCGCGAAAACCACATTAGCTTCAAAATAAAACCATCTATATAACTGGAAATGGTAGAATCACGACGAGGGGCGAAGAGCGAAGATCCTTGATTCACCGCCCAGAATCATTTGCGGCCCGTACGAAAAATCGGGCCGTGACCCGGGACAATCCAATCTGTCATCGAGAGAAGTTCGGCTCTAGCCCTAAGAAATAATCTTACTTATTGCCGGCAAATTCAAGCTAAAGGCTATAGGCCTGACATACAAACCGCCCTGAATTGAAATCACAAACTTTTTTTGCGACTCCACATATCGACTATTAGCTTCCCAGTCGTTCGCATCACTTTCGGTTTCAAATAGATCTCCTATTATCAAAAGAACATAATCTGCCTCAATTCTCCAAACCTGCTACGACAATCGTACCAACGGCAGTCCCATTCACCACAACAACTAAATCGTTATCCGTGTGGCCACGGTATTTTTTGATGAATATCAGCGGCGTCAATTGAATAATCTGAAGAGGCTATATCCGATAGGTTTGTATGGATTACGTCTTCTGTCGGTGAATATACACCAGTTGGGGACCGTCGATCATTGTCCATGTAGATCGTCGCCTTAGCGAATCGACCCAAATTGGCGCAATGGTCGATGTGTCCGTGGGTGATTACAAGCTGTAGAAACACATTGGAAAGCTATTCCGCCTCTACCGTGTCGATGGCATCAAGCTCGATCTCCCGAAGTTTCAGCTCGGCCTCGAGCTGATTCCAATTATCAGGAGAGCCGGTATCGACAAGTATCCGGCCAGCATCGTGTTTGATTAAGGTAACCTGATGTCGAATTGCCTTGCCCTATCCGCTTCACCATACCGATCCTTCTGCAAATCCGTCACGAACGAAGCCGATGATCAACTGTTCCACCTCCATCACCATTTCCCAATCTTACAATTCTCCAAGTAATCGGGTTACATAGTAATTTTTGTAAGCGAAGCCGGTTGTAAGAAGCAGTATAAAAGCGGATTAGCAACATTCAATTCTCAAACGCTCGAAAAGAAACGGGGTAAACGGTTTATTTGCGTCAACGGCCTATCCAACAACTATTGTAGAAAAAAACAAAAGAGCGAGCAAAAATTCATACAAATGGGGCTTGCTGTGGGTGCTCTTCCCCAGAACCTTCTTTCAAAATCTTTTCCTTGATGTCCTTATATCGATATTTCGTGTTCAACGAGTCGGCGCGATGCAAGTGACGAAGAAGGCTTGTTTGTATCAAATTCAATGCCTAAAAATCTTTTAGCGAAGAGAATAAAAGTGTCAACCTTTTGGCTGAAAACAATCGTGTCATATTTCATCAAGGAGAAGCAGTTGAGCCCATAATATGGCATCACATTCATCCACGGCAATTGAGAGGTGGCTTCTGAGAGGGGGCCAGTTATCTAAACAAAAAATATAGATAAAAACTGGGGCATAGTTACCGTATCCGTTTCGCTAACAAAGAGAACGCTGTAGCCCCAGTTTCGCTCATCAGCAAGACTCATCAGGAATTGCGGGTCGCCATCAGGTAGCTGCAACAAAGAGAATCGATAAAAAAAATAACAAACATACCTCCTCCAGACTACTAACAACTTGCAAATCGTCCTGCGCATGTTTGACAGTCAGAGCGACGCATAGGCCTAAAAAAAGATTAAATATTTAAATAGAAACGAACCCTTGATGCGAATCGAGTCGGGCAACATATAAAACCACGTCTTCGGGCCGCGAACTCCATGGGCAAAGCCTCCACGATGAAAGTGGGGAGCTCGAATGCTGCCCGCATGATGTCTTCCTGTTCGCTTTTGAGGCCAAGGTTTAGAGCCTAAAATGATATTTCGAACATTATAAAGAAAGTCTGACCTCCTCCTGGCATCTCGGCCTTTGTGAGCATTTTGGTAAGTTGCACATTCCTGTAGACCTAAATTGGGATTAGAGCAAAACTGAAATGGATTTACTTGTTGCCAGACAATATTTCGGTGCAAGAGATCGAGGCGCGGGGTCGTCCGAAAAACGTCGGGGTGCAGATCGATGATGCCTTGCTGGAATGGGGGATTAAAATAAAGATCCGGGTAAAAAAATTCTACCGGTTCCTCCTTGATCGTCTTCAGCGAGGAGAGCCAGGCTTGAGGGATTTCTTGAAAAGGGCTCTTCCCCACTCTCCATAGCGGCCCAGGTTCATTCTCTACCAGCTTTTGGTGCTAAACAAATCATCCTAGGCTGAATCAATAAATAAAACCTGTTTTGAGATTGAATCCACTGTGGGAGCGGTGGCGCCGCAACGAATGCCGAGGCTGCCTGCACGACAAGCACTCGATCGTGCGGCCAACATACTAAAAACACATACAAGTAAATCCTGATCGATTGTTGAGAACTTAAAATAGTCGAAAGGCCGTCTGGAACAGCGGATAGTTGATCAAAGACCGAATAAGATAGAGCTTTATATACAACAAACAGCAAAACATAACTTCAACTCATCATTTCTCGAAAGGCTCTAACTCTACAAAAAGTCCAAAAAAGTTTAGAAATCTCGATTCTTCGCTTTCTGACGTAAGGACTTGCCCCGGACGATTGCTTCGTTGAATAGCCTAAAAAAGAATTAAGAAAAAGTGGAGCATTACCTCAACAAATAATTGACGCTCTGCACAGTGTCATCATTGGCTGGGATCAGATAGGTTAGATAGGCAGGATCGGCATTCGAATCGACCACTCCGACCTATTAAAAACCAGTGGAAAAAGTCCGCTTCGCGGCCCTTTTCCACTGGACCCCGTCTAGGACCCATGAATTCTCTTTCCTTTGTTTGAAGCCTGCGGCGCAAGAGCCTGAGTCAAGGAACCATTCTTTGGCCTGCGGCGCAAGAGCCAGCGTTGCGCTCCAACCTTTGAGCTTGCGGCGCCAGCCACTACGTTTCCCCCCCCCCGGATTTAGCTGAATTGGGGCAAAGAACCATCCATGGCCTGCGGCGCCAGAGCCAACGTAGCCAGAATCTTTGAGCCTGCGGCGCTATTTACTGGTTTCCTCCAGGATTTGGCCTGCGGCGGGAGAGTCCGAGCTAAGGACCTTTCCTTTGGCCTGTGGCGCTAGAGCGAGGGCCAGACCTAAATCTTGCATACGGAGAGCCAAGCAATATGTTTGTTAGAAGAATTACCAAAAAGCAAAAAGTAGTCATCGCGCCGGATCCGAACCCTTGACCCCTAGCGCCGAGGACCTGGTGCGCTTCCCTTACACCACAGGGAGTTGGGAGTGCGATGCGGGACAGGCCTCTTCATCCTCTGGGGATCCGCCGGGCGCCGTCTAGTCACTTTACAAAAATCGATTTTTGAGGTGGAAGATGATCGAATTTGTAAAATCTAATAAGCTGCGCCTAAGAAGCACCATCGATTACATAAGTGGTCCAAATTTCAGCCCGAAATTCCATCTGGGCTTCGAGTTATGCCCCGGACACCACGGCGCTTGATCCATTTTGTTAAGGACTTTTTACAAAAATGCTGATAAAAACTTTATTTTACAAAATCTGGAAAAACGCAGAATTATATCACAGGAGAATTGTATTTCCCATCTACCCTCGAAAGATTAGAGCCCAATTCCATTAGGATCCCGAGATATGCTCTGAACAAACCTTTTTTCGACCAAAATGTTAAGGGTTTTTCACTATTTTGCTTGTAAAATTTTTAAATGAAGGAGTTTCGAAAAACAAAAAAATGCGTCACTAACAAATGTGTTTCTCCACCTCCATGCCAAAAATCAACCGGAAATTCGGCCTAACGGCCGAGAAATCGGCTGTACAGAAAACAAACATACTTTTCTCGCTTATAGAATTAAAAATAGAATTTTATAGACTAAAGCATGCAATACCGTTGGGATGGCCATCTTGGCGGCTTCTTTGATTGCCGGGTGGGGATCACCGAGTGATGTGATCGTGCTCAGGAAGATGATCTAAAAACATGTTTTAAATGTAGAAAACTGCTAATACCGTATCGGGCAGTCGAATCGGTGTTCCGACGAGTTCGGCAGAATTTGTGAGCGTACCGCTTTGCCATCGTCTGCAATGCGCGTATTCTCCCAACTAAACACAAGTTTTTAAAATGTCTCATTTTCTGATAGCCAAACCTTGGTGGCTGTCTGCTCAACATTGATCATCGTCTCACGATTCGTCGTGACAAACAGGATTATCCCGCCTCGGCTCGCCACGTGCGCCACAAAATTCAGGGCTCGAAGTAAGTACCTAATGAATTAAGTATTTGAAAAAATCAAAATGTTGTACTGCTTGGTGAGCTCCAAATCGAAGACACACACGCCCAGTCGCTCGCCATACAGCGCCCATTTCATATTGTCGTTCAACGTACCCACCTAGAAATCAATGATCAAAATAAATCGGGAGATTTCACCTTATGGCCATAATGCAATCGAGCCTCGAACATTTCTCGAATGTCGAGCAGCGGTTCCAGCTTGAAATGATCATCTACTTGCAATTCTTCTGACGAATATTTTCTGAATAAAGGTAAGAATGATTTTACATAGAAAATACCTCAAAATCTCAGGGTGCACGGTCCCTTTCTCCAAGAGGTCGGGCCCGGGAATTGAGCGAACTGGGGCTTCTTTTACGGTTTGTTGATCGATCCTCGTTTTTCCAACTGCACCTGAAAACAAAAAATATGAATCGCAAACGCTAAAAAACCTAGAAGACGTGTCGTACTGAAAAGCCGGGCTCCTAGCTGGCCTCGGATGAGGTAATGCGGCAGCTTTTGCATCGCAGCTCACTATAAAATTTTTGTTCTAGACTGCCAAAATAATTGGCGATGATTTCAAAAATTCAAAGTTTATGTGGAGAAGAGAACTCTCGGTTGTAATACCGATAAGCACACTGAACCCGATTATATGAAAGATTTATCCAAACAATTGCTAACAAAAAAAAATCTAGTAACAACAAAATTATGATCACCGGAAAGCAAAAATGATACAGGTAAATAGTGTGACTTAAATCAATCGAAGCACCGGGTAGACGGGCGAATCCACAAAGTTGAAGTGAATCCTGAAATTGGTAAGTTTAAAAACCCCGTACAAATTCACCTCTTTTCCACCATTTTCCCGGCCGCCAAGATGCGTAAGACGACCGCGTTGTTCTTGCATACCCGTAGCAAGGCGTGAGCGTATCCTAAAGCGCGTTTGAAAGAAATGAAAGTGGGAGGCGTACCACTCTTCGTGGGGAGCACATATTTCTCCAATTCGATGCGCCCCATCTCGAAAGCTTCGGCCGCATCCGAGAAAAGTTGCGATGGGCCAGCAGAGGCGAGTGAATCGTATCTAAAATTTTTTCACAGAAAATATAAAGCCGAACTCACAAGCTGCGCTGCTTATATTCAGCGTAGGAGACGGCGAATGGTTGATGGAGCAGGAAGAACGGGGCCATCCGATGTAAATAGCGATGCTCTTCCGATCGGTCGTTCCACCGAGGGATCTGAAAATCAGATTTTAAAGAATAAGCAATTTAATCGGGCTTTTTAGCATATACCATCGGGAACAGAAAAATGTTGATTAAGCGCTACCAAAAATATAAACATTTTCAACCAAAAACGTGCGATTTTCAAATTTTGAATAGTTTTTCCAAGTTTCCGAATGGTCTTTTTTGCCACTTGAAAGTTAAACAGATTAATCCCATACCATAAATTTCTTGAGAAGCGAGAGCCCAATAGCCGCCCGGAACATGCCATCACACATTGCCATCTCGGCAGTGAGCAGCTTCCCTTCTTCCTGGTAGAGGGCGAGCCGTCTTCTCAGCTTCTCCTCTTTCTTCGCCTGTTTCTGCACGGCCTTCTTATTCGAGGAGCTCGTTGCTAAAACTATTCACAATAGTGCTTTTATAATACAAACATACAAAGTTTGAAATTGTGCAGAATGAAGGTGTAGGCGCGGTCGAGGCCCGAACACAGACTCCGCTTCACCACCTCGCCAAGATACCTGGAAAACGATAAAAATACCAACAAAAATATACCATACCAATACATATAGGTGTATTCGTAGGGCGCCACGAGATCCAATCGAAAAGAGAGTTCAAAGTGATGGGCGATGAGGCGAGCCGTTTCGTTCAGAATGTACGTGTAGAAGGCGGACGATTCGCGGCGCGTCAATTCGTTGCGTTCCGCGTTTCCGGTCTGGAAATCGTACAGAGGATTGGGTAAGGACATAAAAAAACCCACCTCATTTTCCCGCATCGCCCGCACCGATTGGATGTCGACTTTTAGGGCGGCGTCGAGAAGCATGCGCATGTCTTCAAGCGCATTGACAAGCTTTTCGCGAAGCCGCGTCAAGTTGTTCCCTAAATACCGGTTCCCAAATGTTGTTAAAAATACCGTAATATTGCACGAGGTTGAGCATAGATTTTGTGTATTCTTGCACGAATTCCTCCCAGGCCTCTCGCGCCTCGGCATCGTGATAGGCGGCAGTACTAAAATTGAGTTGAAAAAAAAAGAAGAAAATGGATACGTGTTATCCAAGACAGCGGGGACGACACAATCGATAACCGTATCTGTGAAGATGTCGGCAAGCACGACCTCGCCAAGGACATGATCATCAAATGGGAAAATGACCATCTTAATAAAATCATAAAAAAATTAACTATGCATAGATACTTGTAGGAAAGATCGTGTGAAAACGGTGCTGCATCGATGCTCGCCGTAAAGACGAAAATATTCCAGTAGATTCCCGGAATCGTTGAGCGATTCTGAAAGTCAGAAATACACGGCTTAAGGAAAACCAATAGATACCCGGTAATTCGAGCGGGATTCGGAGTAGACTTTCACTGAGATCGACCAAATATGCTAGCGAGGTGCTGCGGGGCTGGATTACAGATCTAAAAACAATTTAGGAAGGCCGTATGCCGTTACTTTCGAGGAAAAGTGGGCGGCAAGTGTTTTCGGTTGAAATCGGGCTCAAACGCGGGCAACCAGCCGAAATCGCCTGAAAATGAGGGTTATAAAAACAAACAAGACAAATTCTACCATCAATGCCGTCGGATGCCTGCTTTCCGAGCGTCCAAGTATCAACCATTGCTCGCGAATAGTCGTGGCAGGCACGTAAAATGTCGATGCTCTTCCGGAGTTGCGGCCTAAAAATGCCCAGTCGTTTGATCTTCCAGGAATCAGAGATTCTCTCCAAAAACCAACCGAAAGTTGGACATATCAGGCGGGTAATTTTGCACGAGCTTGTTGGCGACCCCACTGAGCGCCGGAGTCAACACCAGGATAGCCTAAATTACTAATTAAAAAATTCTGGATAACAACCTGCATGAAAGTGCGCAACCATCCAAAACGAGCAGCAATGGCCTTGGAGAT